TCAAAAAAACAAAAATGGGCTGGGGATTTAGCTCAGTGGCATAAGCACCTGCCTTGCAAGCAGGCAGTCATGAGTTTGATCCTCGGTATCGATAAAAAAGAAAAAAGACAAAAAAAAATTAAAAAAAAAATAAAAGGAATCATGCTTCAGTTCAAAGGCCCTTGGTTTTTTTGTTCTTTCGTTTTTTTGTCTTTTTGAGACAAGATCTCACTATGTGGTTCAGGCTGGTCTTGGGCTCACTTTGCAGCCCAGGGTAGTCTCAAACTTGTAACAATCCACCTGCCTCAGCCTCCCAAGTACTGGGATTACAGGAGTATACCACCTTGCCTGGGCAGTTTTGGGTTTTTTGTGGGGAGGAACACTGGGATCCCCTCAAACTTGCCAGGGAGGGGCCACACCACTGAACTAAATCCCCAACTCCAAAAGCCCTTGATTAAATCCCCAGTACCAAAACAAACAAATGAAAGATTAGATCTATTCTTCAGAGGCTTTCATCACTAGTATACAAACAGAACATCTCTACTTTACTGCTTCCAGTCACCAAAATCTCTTACCAGTAGAAATCTCTTACCTATAGAAAAGCTTCAATAGAACCACATTTGGTGGCATGCAGCCATGATCGAAACATGCTTGTAAGGCTAAGGCAGGAGGATCAAAGTTTAAGGCCAGCTGGGGATTTAGCTCAGCGGCATAAGCACCTCCCTTGCAAGCAGGCAGGTCATGAATTCGATCCCTGGTACCGATAAAAAGAGGGGGAAAAAAAAAAAAGAAAACTATAAAAGTTTAAGGCCAGCTTAGGCTACACAGCATATTCAAGGCTACACCCTGACTTACAGAGACCCTGTCTCAAAAATTAAAATAAAACAAAACACTTCACAGGTCGCTGTATGTAAACCATACATAACTGGGCTGTCAGATGCTTTCTCCCCCAAGAACCAGTCCTTTTCAAGAGAAACAGAACTTCCTTACGTATCTTTTCCAGGCTTAGCCAACAGAAGGGGAACTGCAACTTTGTGTGATACTGTCTGATAGTCTACATTTTTCCTGATCAAGAGGTAGAAAGTCTTATGCCAGTACACGATTTGTAGTCAATCTGAGTGTGTGCCTTATTTATTTATTTATTTATCTTTCCTTCAAACTACCTCAGAAAATGTCTGGTTATCGTGCCTTGACATGTAAAGATACAGGGATTCAAATACTGCAAAAGTCTGAAAAAGCAAGTCCCTCAGTCCCAGTGATAGCCCAAATCTTATGACTTCTCTAACAATTGTTTTAATCAACCAGAACTAGTTTAGTTTTCCTCAATGGGCCCAGCAACATGAGCCTTCAAAGGTAAGTGGGGAGGGGCTGCTTATCAGTGTGCCGCTCAGTGAAGACTAGCTAGCTAACACGGAATATGCTCCAGTTCAGAAACCAGGACAAGATCGCTGCTGTTTTCTACACATGTGCTTTCAGCTTTATTTTGGGGGAACAAGGTGGGGGAATTGAGAGGGTTAGGGTTAGGGTTAGGGTTAGGATCTGTAAATTCAAACAAGAGGCTTACTTAACATGTAACACACAAGACTCACTGCTAAAAGCTAGGGTGAACCTAGTGGTTCCTGCATATGGTATCTTGGACAAACTGACATCTCTTCCATTCTGCTGTCCTCTAACCAAAACCCAACCAGTTGGTCCACTTTAGCCCAGGTGGAACCAGAAAAGGGAAGGGAAAGCCCTCCAAATGGGACAGACAGTACACGGTGCTTTTTATTTCCTGATAGTCTTTTTTTTTTTTTTTTTTTTCCCCCTCGTACTGGGGATCGAACTCACAACGTTGCACTTACCAGACAGGTGCTTATGCTGCTGAGCTAAATCCCCTTTTTTTTCCTCATAAAGATGTGGTGTTTTTCTTTTGTACTGGGGATTGAACTCACAACCTTGTGCTTGCCAGACAGGCACTTAGGCCACTGAGCTAAATCCTTGGCCCTAATAAAAGTCTTTTTACGAAAATGTAAAACTCGTTTTAACTTTAATGTACAAAGCCATATGTAACACTTGCACTTTAACAAAAGCAGGCTAGGGGCTGGGGATTTAGCTCAGCGCATAAGCGCCTGCCTTGTAAGCAGGCAGTCCTGAGTTCGATCCCTGGTACCGATAAAAAAACGAAAAAGACAAAAAAAAAAGCAGGCTAATGCTTAAAAAACACATCATTAAATGTATATATTTACATAGCATATTTAGTTTAATATTTAGCTTTAAAATTTCAAGTAAGTTTTAGCAAAATAAGATGATTTTAAATAAATTACTTTTCAAAAATGTTTAACTGTGTGGTCAACAACTTCAAAAAGACCCTGTATTTAGTATCTCCTTAATATACATTGTATATCACAAATTTTACAATTCTTTGGCAGTAATTTTCTGATTGTGACATGACTGCTGTGCAACAGTACCCAGCTTTTGAAAATACTTTAGGGCTCTAAGATTTAGAACCAATGCCTCACAACTCTCCCACCATCCTGTGCTCTTATGCTAAACACAGCAGAGGTTACTGCTAGAGTTGAAGAGTTAATCAAAGAACCTGGTTAACACTGCTTCTAGACAAAATTTGAATTCGGCCTCTATTCAGATACTTTGATTACCTCTAAACAGGAAACTAACAGACCTCACACACAGTTGGAGGAGCCAAACCACTGTGTTCTAAAGATGGATGCTACTGTCAACTACCAATTACTCATCTCATCAAGAATGTCCTTAACTAAAGAGAGGACAAAAGTCTATAAACTTCATCTCTTCCCAAAAAGCATTGGTCCTTTGACCAATAAGTGTAGCTTTTTGATTCCTGATAATTAATACACCCAGTGCTCAGCACTCCCAGCACTCAGCAGAGGCAGGAGAGTCACCATTAAGTTGGAGGCTATCCTGGGCTACATAGTGAAGCTCAAGGCCAGCCTAGACTATTCAGTGAGATCTTGTTTGGAACAAAAAATATTCATCTACCGCATGCCATGATTACTATCACTGCCTCCAAACTAAAAACCACATTCTTCTAAGAACTAATAATAGCACACCTGTAATTCCAGAACTCAGGAGGCTGAGGTAGAAGGATTGCTTGGAGTTCCAGGCCAGCCTGGGCTACAAAGTGAGTTCAAGGCCAGCCTGAGCTACAGCACAAGACCCTGCCTCAGAAAGACAAAACAAAAACAAAAAACAAAATTTAAAAAACCCTAGTAATAGTTAGAGCAGACCAATTCATATAACCTATCTGGTTACAAACAAAAAAGACCAGAAAAGCCTGTCCCTGATCCAACCTATGTTCAAACACCCAGTGACTGGTTATCAGTCACCAAGAAAACTATCACCATTTCATTTCCAACAGCAGAGAGGCCTCCCCTAAGAATATACCGAACCCCTCCAGAGGCCCTCCTTTAGCACTTCCAGAAGTAGCCTCCTTCCCAATCAAGTACCAACAGAAATGCTACTCTACAACAATACTCTATCACAATACTCTTAAGATTGCCCCAGCATGAAAACTAAGAATCCAACAAGTTATATGACTTTGAAGAAACATGTATCAAAGAGCAATAAGTTAACACTAACCTTTCCAACATGTTATTTTCCCGTAACATATCATACTGGCAGAAAAACTGTAGTGTAATGCTTACTGGGGCAGGCACTGGATGGCTGGAGGACACAGGTGGGAGGAAAAGTTTTGATTTTTTGTTTTGTTTTTTACTTTGCACCATATGCACGCACTGCCATTTCAAAATATAAATTTTGTAAAAAGAAAATGTTTTAAAAGCATAACAGCATCAGTTCTTCTGCAACACAGATTTGTAAACCCACTTTTACTCCACCAGTCCAAATCCTCCTCCTTTTTGCAGTGTGGTATACAAACACTGTTCTTTTCCTTTCCTGAAACGTTAAGTAGCCCTACCTCTTCACACACAGAAAAGCCCTCCAAACAACCATTTATCAGATGAGAAAACTGGTTCCCAGAAGACTACTTGATTCTCCAGAGGCCAGCAGAAAAGACAGCTCAGCATTCACATGCCACCCACCATTAATGCCTCCATCTCCACAGTCAAACCTCGTGTTTGGAGGGAAGTTGATACTGAGGAAGAACCCAAAGAAGCCACAATACCTTTATGAACGTAGAAAACTACCCGGGCCATAAAGGGTGTCTAATGGCTCTCCAAGTCATAGTTAGTTAGGTCCTTAGTGAAACTGACAGCAGGGATGCAAAAAGTACTGTAAATCTCGACTTGCTAGGGAAGGATAAGTTCCTCACACCTCAAGCACTTAACTGTGAAACAGCCCGTGCGTCCCAATGCCCGGCTGGGAAGAGTGCTTTGGTCGCTACCCAAGGTAAGTACCCACACAGGCTAGAGCAACTGCGTTCAGTCTAAGGGAGGGCGAGAGAACAGTGGACCACGAAATAAAGAGTCAGGTTCCGCACTCCTAATCCCTTTACCTCAATACGAATAACGACTCTGTTTCCTTCCCCCTTGCGGACCCCCCATTTGTTCAGTCCACCTTCACGCGCGAAACCGAGCGCTGGGAGCGGCCCCCGCACCCTGAGGGCACCCCTAGGGGCGGAGAGAGTTAAAGGGGGCGCACAGGAGAGGAAAGAAGGGGAGCATGGCGGGCAGAGCAGGGAGTGAAAGCAAGGATGGCGGGGAAACGGGGCGCGAGGGAGGGGAGGGCGAGCCAGGGAAGACGCGCAGGGACTCGAGCCGGGGCGCGCAAGGCCGGAGTGAAAGGCCGGGACGCGCGCGGAGGGGGAGGGGACGAGGTGAGGGGAGCGCGAGGCGGGGGCGCGCGATGCCGGCTGGGGGAGGGGAGCGAGGCGGGGGCGCGCGGGCGGGCGTCGGCTCGCGGGCGCTTCCCCTCCCCCCGCCCTCCACCTTTCCCTTCCCCCACCTTCGCCACCACCACCTCCTCCCCAGCTTCCCTCCCTTCCAAGCTCCTCACCGCCCCCGGGCGGGCCAGCGGCCAAGCTGGCCTAGGCCAAAGCTCCTCACCTGGCGGTGGCGGTGGCAGTGGCGGTGTAACTCCCGGCTAGCTCGCCTCCTCAGGCGGCAGTGGAGGCGTCGAAAAAGGAACAGGCGACGGCACAGTGGGCTCCGGACCCCGAGGACGGGACCAGGGGCGGGGGTGGGGGAGAGGGGCGGGCCAGACCGGGGCGGGCGGGCGGAGCAGACACTGCGGTACAGACGGGGGCAGCGGCGGCGGCGGCGGCTGCACCGGCGGCGGCGGCACCACACAAACAAGGACGCTGATTGGGCAGCTGCCAAGCGCCTTGACTCCGCCTTACTCACACGCCACGACGCCCATTGGACAACCTGAGCCGGTCACCCCGCCTTCCTCTTCATGGACCTACCAATAAAAGCTGGAATGCTGAGGCTTCGCCCCGCCCTTAGACAATGAGTGGGAGAAGAAGTGACGATTGGCGTAGTGAAGAACCAATTCTAAATTGGAGAGGGGGATGGTCTAGCGGGGGCGCGCTAATGGGTACCTCAGCCAGTCCCAGACACATCCGGGTCTTTGACAACCCATTAAGTGTCGGGGGTCAAAAAATCGCTTCAGGCTGAAACTTTACCTTAGAGACGTTTTAGTCCCCAGGCAGCCTCCGTACCCAAGGCTCCCAAAACCGGGATTCCCCTTTGGCCAGCTTTCATTCTTTCAGTTCTAAAGATGGGGCAGTCGAACGGCGGTGTGCTCGGCGGTGGGCGGTGTTTCATCGCGACAAAATCCAAAAATTTCATGATAGAGCTATCTTGGCCTAAAGCGCTTGGGCCTTGCTATTTGGGGCGTGGCGTGTCCTAGTCTACCCAACGCCTTAAACTTCCTGGTGTCCATCCACCTCTGCCTGGTCCTGTCTTCACTAAACCACGGGAGCAGAAAAAAAAGCAGCAAACAAAATTTAGTGAGAATTTACGTTGTACAGGGTCAGCACAGCTCCTAATCTCGATACAGACCGGGGCAGGGGGGTGTGGGTCCTGCTGCTCTGGCTAGGTTCACAGCTACGTTGTTCCTCTTGGATTCTAGGCCCAGCCTCTATTAGCCTCCTTTCTTCCGCGCAGCACGGAGCCCTCTCATGAGTTCTCTGGTCTCTGCAGAGCTGGGCACAAGTGACCAATTATCACAAAATCAGTATGTTGAGAGTATATTAAGTATTCGAAAACTTAACATTTTAGGGAAGGAACTGTGCCCAGACACTGGAGTATCTTGTTTATTTCCCATAAGTTTGTGAGGCAGGTACTGTTGCCTCTATTTTACAATGACTTTTTAAAACAACACACGTTATGTGGTAAAGCTGACATTTGAACCCAGATATAAGAGAAAACAGGCTCAGGCTGAACGTGGTGGTGCATGCCTGTGATCCCAGCAGTGGGAGCCTGAGGTCCTGAGCTACATAGTAAGACCCTGTCTCAGACAAAAAAAAAAAAAAAAAGAAAAGGAGGAGGAGAAAACGGCCTCAGAGAGGTTAAGTCCTTTGCCAAAGTCAGACAGCTAATAACCAAGCAGTGGTTTAAACGTAGAAATACATAACTGATTTCAGAAGCACTAGCACATACAGTATTTTCAAATGATTTAGCACTCATGCTGTGAGGATAATAGAAGACAAGACCACCAAAAAAAAAAAAAAAAAAAAAAAAAAACTTAGGTAAAGGGTCCAAGGATATCTGCCTGGCAAGTGTAAGGTAATGAGTTCGATTCCTAATACCAAAAAAAAGCAATTCAGTGAAAAAACTTTGGTAAATGGTTTCAGTCTCCAACACATACACAAACTTATACAGACTCACAAACACATATTCTAATTCTTACTTTAAATGGATGAAACCTGATCTTGAGCTGGGGATGTGGCTCAATGGTACAGCTTTTGCCTTGCACACACAAGGCCCTTGATTCGATCTCCAGCAAAAAAAAAAAAAAAAAAAAATACAGAGGTGTAGGGGTGCACATCTATAATCCCTGAACACTGAGAGGCTGAAGCAGTAAGACTGAAAGTACAAACACAGCCTAAGCAATTGACTGACTTAGATAACCTGTTGCAAAATAAAATTATAGGTGAAGGCCAGGGATTTAGCTCAGCAGCATAAGTGCCTGCCTTGCAAGCATGGGCTCCTGAGTTCAATCCCAGTACTAAAAAAAAACAAAACAAAACAAAAACAAAAAAAAAAACCACCGAGAGTGGTGATGTAGCTCAATGCAAAGCCCCTGTTCAACCCCAATACTAAAAAAAATAAAAAATAAAAATAAATAGGGGTTGGGGATTTAGATCAACGGCATAAGCACCTGCCTTGCAAATGTGTGGTTGTGAGTTTCATCCCTGGTACCGATAAAAAAAGAAAAAGAATAAATAAATATAAATAAAAATAATTTCTATGCTAGTATAGTGGCCAGGTAAAGATGTGGTCTGGGGATTTAGCTCAGTGGCATAAGCGCCTGCCTTACAAGCGCGTGGTAGTGAATTCGATCCTTGATACTGATTTAAAAAAAAAAAAATGGGTAGTCTCTGGAGTTAAGTTCTAGAGTTTGATCTTAGCTCTGTTTTGTGGTAATGAGGATCAAATCCAGGAACACCTTAGAACTGAGCTACATTCTCAGCCTTTTCATATATATAACTGCATATATAACAGCCTTTTCATACTGTATGTCCTCCCTATGCAGGTTAGCCTGGGCTTGGACTCACTTTGTAGCCCAGGCTGGCCTCCAGCTCACAGTGCTCTTCCTGTTTCAGCCTCCCAAGTGCTGGGATTACAAGTGTGCACTACCGTGCCCAGCTTCTGTTTTTAAATTTTGAGACTGGATCTCCCTACATTGCCCTAGCAGGATTTGAACTCCTGCCTCAGCTTCCCCTTAAGGCCTCAGTCCTGGAACTGCAAGTACTGAACTTTGACTGTATTTTTTATGAGTTGTGTTATTTGGATACAAATTACTTGATCTCTGTTTTCTATGGACTAGTTTCTCCATCTGTAAAATAGGAATGTTAAGAGTGCCACCTAATAGGATAATTGTGAGGATTGTAATTATATATATATATATATATATATATATATATATATATAGTAGCACTAGAGATAAGCCTAGGGTCGTGTACATCCTGGGCAAGCACTCTACCATTGAGCTATACATCCCCAGCCCCAGTAAATTTTAAATGTGTAACAGAAATAACTACTCAAGAAATACAAATAATAATTGTTATAAACATTTCCCTTACTTTTCCAATAATTTCCTTGCTTTTCCAGTAAATTCACCCTTAGCTGTAAATTCAGCTTATTTTAGTATTGTACACATAGTGCTTATCTTATACCACACTAAAAATTATTCGTGTACTAACTGCATCATATCCATGCTGTTTTCGTCCTTCCTGTCCTTCTCAAGAGCTAGAGATTAAACCAAGGGCCTATTCATTGAGTCTAATCCTTAGTTGTTTTTAATTTTTATTTACAGACAGTATCTCTTAAGCTACCACATTACCCAAGATAGGCTCCAGCTCTTAGTCCTTCTGCCTAGACTCTTAGAGTGCTAGAATTACAAGTGTGCACCACCACTGCATTGGGCTTTTCAGTTATTCAGTATACATGATAAAGCGCATCTTATAGTCTGTTTTGTATGTGTGTGCGTGTTATTTGAGACTGGGTCTCACTATGTGTGTAGCTAGCCCAATCTAGCCTCAAAGTTGCAGCAATTCTCCTGCTTCAGCCTCCCACGTACTGAGATTACCAGAAGCACCACCATGCCTGGCCTGTACCTCTTACGTTGTCAAGCACTCTCCGGTGTGCTAGGGATGTACTAGTGAATGGGACAAAGCTGTCACAGTCACAGAGTCCTCTTCTCCTAAACTTTCCTATATGGGGTTAATTGAGAAATCCTAGGCCAGTGTCTCTCTAAGTAAGGATACTGCAATCTGCCTGTGTACAGGAGAGAGACTTTGAAGGCTGTGTAGAGGAGCTGGAGCCTTCAATCCACAACTTGAGTCAGCCCTCAGGAACAAAGTGAGTGTGTAAGTCAAGGGTCCACTTTATTTGGTCCTATCCTTCCCTCATACATTCCCTAGGCCACAGGGCAGACATCCACTGTCATGTTGTGTACTTTGCTAATGGAACTCTCAAATTTTTTTTTTCTTTGTGGTACTAGAGATTGAGCACAGGGCCTTCATACTGGGCTACATCTCCAGCACCTTTTCGGACTTTTTTTTTTTTCAGGAAACACATTCTTCCAATGGGGTTTGTTTATTTTGAGGCAAGGTCTTACTAAATCACTGAATTTCCCAGACTGGGCTTGAACTTGACATTGTTTTGCCTTAGCCTTTCAGAGTACTGGAATTACAAGTGCCACCATTCCTAGTTCCCAGATATGCTTAAGGAATTCTGTAGTTGTCCATCTGACTGTGGGGTTTTTCATTTTTTGTTGTTTTTTGTTACTTTGAGGCAGCATCTCACTATGTAGTGCAGGCTGACCTCAGACTTGCAGCACTCCTCCTGCCTCAGCCTCCTGAGTGTGGGGATTACAGGTGTGCACCACCATGCCTGGCTGACTGTAGGATTTTGAAAGGAAACCCAAAACTGAGAGCCAAAAGTTGGATGGCAGAGTTATCATTACCTTTATGAACCAAAAAGCATTTTAGGTCTACTCTAGTTGGGTAGGGACTAAATCCTTACTATAATTCAGGCCAGTGCTACACGCACTATGCACAACAAAAACTAAAATGGAACTTCACAGTGAGACTCTGTCTCAATAAAACAAAATATAATTTTAAAAAATAAAATTTATTTTAAGAGCAGGTCCATCATAGTTTGGAGGCATAGCTCAGTGATAGAATGTTTGCATAAGACCCTGGGTTTGATCCCCAGCACTGGGGCAGGGGGCAAAGTGTCCCTTGGAAAAGACCCCTGAGAGCCAAGCATAGTGACACACACACCTATAATTCCAGCACACTGGGAGGCCAACACAGGAAGATCACAAGCTCAAGTCCCACCCAGGAAATTTAGCAACTTAGTGAGACTCTATCTCTAAATAAAAAAAAAATAAAAAGAGCTGGGGGAGGTAGTTCCAAGGGCTTGGGTTCAGTCCCTAGTACTGCAAAAAAGAAAGGAAGGGAGGAAGGGAAAGAAAGAGGCAACGGGGGAAGAGGCAAAGAAAGAAGAAGCCAGGTGTGATGGCACATGTCTGTAATCCCAGAACCTGGGAGGCTGAGGCAGGAGGATCACTGAGTTCAAGGCCAGTGTGAGCTACATAGTAAGTGCAAGGCCAACTGAACTACTACTGAGACTCTGGCTCAAAAAACATTAAAGAAAAAAGGGACAAGGAAAGAAAGGAAAAGGAAGGAAAGAAAGAGTGAAAGGAAGGAAAAAAGAAAAAAGGAGAGGAGGAGGAGAAATTGGTGGAGGCAGAAGAGGAAGAGGGGAGGAAGATGACAGACCCCTGGGGGGGAGAGAGTGAGGTTGTATGGGGAGTAATGTTCGATGAGAAGCTGGGTGACATGTTGTTCACTTCTGAAGAGTGTATCTCCTAGTAAGGGAGATAAAGAGCATTTCCTGAGTCCCATGGTTCCTTTGCAACTCCTTCAGGACTCTGGAACATCATCCTCTTAAGCTCAAGTGCAGGTAGGGAAGGGTCTTCTGCCTTGAAAAGCTCAGCAATAGGGGCTGGGGATTTAGCTCAGTGGCATAAGTGCCTGCCTTGCAAGCAGGCAGTCGTGAGTTCGATCCCTGGTACCGATAAAAAGGAAAAAGACAAAAAAAAAAAAAAAAAAAAAAAAAAAAGCTCAGCAATCAGAAGTAGGACCCAGTCTGGGATTTAGCTCAATGGCATAAGCACCTGCTTGGTAAGCATGAGTTTGATTCCTGATACCATAAAAAAAAAAAAAAAGTAGGACCTCTCTCTTTATCCATGAATCACCTCCCACCCCCAGAATTGGCACTAAAAATTCCAGTAAGCTATTTGCTTCACTGACAAGCCCACCCTATTCCCCCAAGGCATTTCTGTTATTAGCTAATTCAATAATTGGTCTTGTAGCTCTGTTAGGAGTTGTTTCCTGTGTTGATTTTATTATACAGGAGAAAAGGAGAACTTCAAGTGGGCCAAAGGGATTGTGGAAACGATGCCAGTCTCCCCGAGGTCCACACTCAGCAGGCCTCTCACTCCTTGCCCCTTTTTAGTGGTATTGCCAGCCGGAGACGCTGGTGGAAGAGTACCAGCTGCAGCTAGAGTAATGCAGGAGGGTGAGGTGATGACTAGGGGCGCAGAATACGTCAAGGCCACCAATACTGGCTACTGGGGAGATGGTTGTCATCTCTGTGGAGGTGCTAGCGAAGTTGGAGGGGACACTGGGGGAGAGGAAATAAGGCAAAGATGAGCTCAGGGCCCCCAGAGAATGGAGCCTTTGTATGGGGTACAGATGTGGGACAAGGGCATGATTGTGTGGGAGGACCGGAAGTCCTCACAGACTGGCACTGCCACAGCCAGTACCAAATTCACCCTCCCCTGCTCCAAGAGTTCCCATCCAAAGACCACACATGATTAGGAAAAGCAGAGTGTACCTGGAGGCTGCAAAGGATGAGAAGTTGGCAAAGAGGATATGCAGCCAGGAGAAAACGAGAGTCCCCCAACCTCTCATTATGATCCCAGACCCAAGGGACAAGAGGCAGAAGGAAAAAGTCAGAAGCAGCTTTTACTATATTTACATCCAACAAAACTTCACAGGGAACAATCCTTATTGCACTGGTCAGGGCCCTGGGTGGGTGAGGAATTCCCCGAGATGGAGAGGACGGGAAGGACTGAAGAGGTACCAGTTTGTCCCAAAGACAGCTTGCAACTCCTCTAGCTCCCGCTGCCCAGCTTTCAAGGAGCTACAAACCATGGTGCTCCACTTCCCTCCCTTTCTTACTCTGTAAAAACCTCAGAAGAGGGCTGTGGCTCCAGAATAAATAATTTAAAATAAAATACAAACACTAAGGTAGAAAGGCATGGAGAGCCATGGGCTCCTTCAGCAATGCAGGGATGAGGGACTCTCACTGGTGGGGAATGAGAACCTTTGCTCCCAATTCAAGGAGAAGGCTCAGCAGCTCTGTAGCTTTCCAGATGTTTTTTAAAACAAAAACTTCTAAAATGACCAGGGCAATGCAGATCTGTGAGTACCCTGGAGAGTAGTTCCTGAAATAGAACAGGGGAGGAACAGAGCCATACCAACTCCCCGCCAGTGCTCCCCCAACATCAGCATGAACAAATTGGGCAGGCTGGGATAGCGAATTGTGACTTTTGCTAACAGTGGGGCCTTCTTCCTGCTGCCCCAGGGGGTCCGTGGCTCAACAGGCTTCCCAGCCTGTTCCCCACTCCTCTGTGAAGCGGACAAGAAATCCTGTTATCTCTAGATTCCTTTCTCCTCAGCTCTCCACCCAGGCTGGAGAGGGAAGCTTAAAGGTCCCTAGCACTCCAGAGGTGCTCCAAAACATTTCCGGCAGTCGATGGCCTTAGGAGAGGGCATCTGTGCTCGCCGCTGCCTCAGCTCCTCCTTGCCCATGCTGCTGGCCAGCTTGTTAAAGGCGGACTTGTACTTCTTGTCAAAGGCCACTAGGGAAAAGAATGTAAGACAATGCATTAGGACCCCTGCGCCTCACACTTGGTCCCAAGTCCCTAAAGTCCCCAGCCCCTGCTGGCTCCCTCACCTATGTCCACGTGGTCTTTGCCCAGAGCAGCCAATGTCAGAAATAAGATCTCACGGTAGATGCCCCTGGAAAGTCAGAAGGGTGAGTGACAGAGTTTGAAACCCAGGATAGGTCAGGGAGCACCTAGTCAGGAGCATCATACCTCTGCAGGTACAGGCCAGTGGAAGGGGGCCCCAGAGTTTCCAAAAGGAGCCCCACAGCCTTGTGCACTTCATTGAGTCCGACATGGCGCAGCACTGACTCCAACAACGCCAAGCTAAGACATTCAGGTACCGGGCCTGGCCAGACCACCCGCTGTGGGATCTGACCTGAGAAGGAAAGGAGGAGGGTCACCAGGATCCTTGAGCCCTCTAGGTGTGGGACCACCCTTCCCACCCTTAGGCCAAACACCAGACTCACTGTGGAGCCTCCAGAGCACATACAGGGGTGGGCAGCTGTTGGGGTCTGGAGTCAGAACATCCCACAGCAGCCGCACCTGCACAGAGGCTGGGTCAGGGGTGAGCCAAGGAGATGGAGCCTGTAGGAATAGAAAGGAAAGATAGGTTCACAGAGCTGGAGGCACAGGACAAGAAATGGAGAAGTAATGTCCAAAGATACAGAGGGCCACTATACACACAGCAAAGGAAAACAGGGAAAGGAGAGAATGTGGGCTCATAAGAACAAGGACTTTGCTTTCTAATGTGTTACACCCCTAGTCCCTGAAAATTTCCTGGACCCTAAAAGATGCTCAATAAATGATTGGTGGGGGTCAGGGATATAGCTCAGTGACATGGCACCTGCCTGGCAAGCAAAGGTACTGAGTTCAATTCCCGATACCAAAAAGAAAAAATAAATAAATAAATGGTGGGATGAACAGACAAGACATTAATGCATCATTCTGTAGGCACCAGGCACTATATACATGGTGTGTGCGCCGCGGCACTGTAAAGTCAGTACTTATGCCATTTTACAGATGACAAAACCGAGACTCAAAGTGTTGGAGCTCAAGGGCCAGAGTCACACCAGGCACAACAGTCTCCACAGCCAGGCTCTTTCTACACTACCAGGAACACTCAGAACTAAGAAACCAAGAACTGAGCGACAGGGAGGAGGCTTTCAGGAAACAGGGACTACATGGGGACACTAACCTGGGGGTGCGGGGGCCCATCACAGGAGACCAGCACCAGGCCTGGTAGAATACTAGGGAGGCGCAGCCGTTGGAAATACCACAGAAGGTTCCAGAAGATAATGGGGTGGGCAGCCGGCAGCTCAGGCAATGCCAATACCTCACTCCCCTCATTCTCTACTAGTGACTCCAGCTCCTTCCGCAGCACCAGGGGGCTCAGGTATGCCCACGCCCCACTCTCGACCCGCCGGGGGGCACCCTGTCAGGCACACAGCAGATGGACATGTACCGTGGGCCCATTTTCAGAACTTGCCCCACTCAGTCATTCGGTGCAATACCACCCAGGATGCCCCTGCCTCTCAATGCCCACATTTGGCCCCTGTAGCTCCCCTCGAAGGGCAACCTACTCCCATGCCTCATGCCACCATAACTCAGCCCTTACCGCCATGTGCCCATTGCAGAGCTGGGGCTCATCCAGGGCAAGACAGAGCCTGCGATCACTGAGTACAGGGCCAGGACCCCCAGGGACAGGAGCATCTTTGCTGCCAGTAGGGGCAGGCTTGGGGCTGGAGGCGCTGTAGGGGGACAGCAGTGGGGTCAGCTCTTGGACTATCACCTCCCTGTCCCACCCACAGCATTGCCCTGCTGTGGGCACCTGAGTCGGGAATCAAAGGTCTGGACACTGAGTAGAGGCACAAAGGGGCAGGCACAGAAGGGACATGTGGTGTTGAGGTTGGAGTCATCAGGTGCCCAGCCAGCCATGATCTCCTCATCGTACACCAGTGAGTCACAGGCACGGCACAAGGAGCAGCTGGACAGCAGAATCTACAGGCATGGAGATGACAGTGGGTAGGTCCAGCCAGACCTCCAGGGTCCCTCTGCAAGCCCTTCTCTATCCCTGAACCTCAGCCAGGCCTCCTTCTCCCTTTCTTCACTCCCATCCTCTGACAGCCCTGCTGTGTGTGGAGTTATCCTCACTTCCAAGGAGGGTGGCTGGAAGGATCCAGGTGTGTCACTGAGGCGCTCTGAGGAATGACGGAGGCTCAGGCTGCTGACAGAAGACTCTGAGAGGTCCCACTCACTGCCCAGAGAGGCTGAGCTCTGCTATGACATAAGAAAGCTTAGTCAGCAGCCCCGTGGGTCCCTCAGGGGCCCTAACCTGGCAGCCCTTCAGTTAGCAGCCCTACCCAGGGTTCCTGGACCTCCCCTCATGGGCTACCTCAGAGGCAGTGGATCCAGGGCGCTCCCGGGGCCACAGGAGGCTGTCCCTGGGGCTAGAGCGAGCTGCGACAGGGAGGTCAGATGGCACCTCTGAAGAGGAGACACGGGAGGCAGGGGAACGGCGGGAAGGCGTGAGCAGCTGCTGGAGGCGGGCACCCAGCCCTCGTCGGGGGGTGCCCATCTCATCCTGGCTTCCACCAGCCTTGGACCCTCGTCTACTCAGCCCTTCCAGGGCTTCTGTGGACTGGGTACTCAGGGCTGAGCCTGAGCCCCCTGGGCTGCCTCCAGGTGCCAGCTCCTCCCCTGTCAGGCTCAGGTCTGAAAGACTCCCATCGTGCCAGAGCACAGGTGGTCCTCGGGGTTCCAGAACTCCCAAAGCCTCTATGACTGCAGGTCAAAAGAGAAAAGAGAATGGAGGAAGGTGAGGCCCTGCCTCTCTTCCAGCTGCCTCTTCCTAAGCAAACACAATTCCTGGGTGCATAAACTCTGGCTCCACAACCCCTCCGTGACCATGACACGCTGGGTTAGGTCCCCTCACAGTCTACAGTCTGCACCACCAAGCACTACCCTTCCCACCCCGGCCCTGGTCTTCCCCTCTTGAGGGTACATGGTTAGGAGACCTAACTGGGGAGAGCAGGGCGGGCCAGACAAGAGCACTCACTGTGGGCCACACCAGCCTCCACAGTCGGCTGCGCCCCTCGGGCACTACCCAGGCTGCCACTCTTCACCAGGCGCCCAGTGGGTGAGGCCGGGTCCCGCAGACTTCGCCCGGCCCAAGTGGTTTGGCGCTGAAGTGGGCGGGTAGGAGAAGGGCGCTGCACATAGGACTCTGTGAGAGACAGGGAGGGAGGGGTGCAGGGGTGTTAGCTAGAAACCCTCCTCTTCCAAAGCAGAGCTCCTTGGTGGACCTGGATTTGCAGGGTCCTCAGGACAGAACTTGACCCTGTTGTTATAGTGTAGTTTACCAATCCCTAGAAAGCCCATGTCAACAAATAGACCAGCTCCAGCCCTCCAGGCCCATCTCCCCAGGCCCCACACACCTGTCTGGGAGCTGCCTGCTTCCTGGGGAGCTGCTGCCTGCTGTCGCTGTCGCTGCTGCTGCTGCTGCTGCTGCTGCTGCTGCTGCCGCTGCTGCCTGTCTCTCAAGGGCTGGCGAAACTGAGCAGCACCCAGTACAACATTCCGGAGCTTGGCCCAGCGCAGACGTCCACCTGGTGTACCTGATGGCCACTTGCTTTCCAACACAGCCTGCCAGACACAACATCCATCAAGGGGCTACTGCCACTCCTGACCCAACTAGATGCCCACCTCCCACCCCAGAGTCGGAAACCTCCTCAAAACAGCCAGCTCAACACTGTGACCATGGCTCAGCCAAGAAGGGAGAGAGGCAGATGCCAGTTGCTGCCCCTGAGAACCTACAAGAAGTCAAGAGTCATGGAGAAAGTCTGCATCCAAACTCTATTACTTATAAACTGTAGGGCAGGGCTGGGGATACAATTCAATGGCATAAGTGCCTGCCCGACAAGCTCAAGGTCCTAAGTTTGATTCCTGGTACACACACACACACAAAAAAAACAACTATCGGGCTCAAAAATGACAAAACTAAAAATAAACTATAGGGGTTTGTAGAAATGATCTCAGATTTTGGTCATTAAGTTTCCTCATTTAAATCACTTACATACTTGTAATGCCAAGACACTGGGAGGCTGAGGTAGGAAGACTGCAAGTTCAAATCCTGCCTGAATAACTTAGCAAGATGCTGTTGCAAAAATATAAAAGGTCTAGAGATGCAGCTCAGTGGTAGAGCTTTTGGTCCCCAGCACTGACGGAGGGGAGTGGGGCACAAAGCCAGGAGTGATGGCACACAACTATAATCCTAGGACAGTTAGGCAGGAGGACCACTGAGTTTGAGGCCGGCCTACACTACATATACACCCTATTTCTAAACAAACAAGCAGAAACTGAACTCAGGTAACACAGAATTGCCTCTGCTTATGCTCTAACCACCTAACTTGTTCACTGTGGCAAGTCATAAATTCTTTGCAACCTCATCTGTAAGATAGGGATAATCATTCTACTCCATGAGCTACTGTGGAGATGAAGTGATCTACATTGTACAGTACATTTGGAGCAGTGCCTGACATTTTGACTAACACTATTAGCTCTAGTAAGGGTCATTGTGAGTGATAAAGTAGCCAAATGCAAAAAACAAACAAACAAACACTGTCAGCGCAGATGTAGTGCCGGCACCCAGAATCCTAGCACTTTGTGAGGCTGAGGCAGAAAGATCATGAATTCAAACCCAGTGTAGGTAGTTCAGTGACTCTGTGAAGCCCTGTCTCAAAAACAAAAAATAACAAAAAGAGACAAGATGGCAAACATGAAAAAAAAATTAAAATGTCAATGCTCAGGCACACTGGTAGCACAGTGGACACCAGTGGCGCACGACCTGGTTGAACTGCACAGACCCCATCACCAAAAGCAGCACCCTTCCCACACATGCCTTGCTCCCAAAGAGGTACCTTGTTGTAGTAACCATAGGTGATGGTGTTGGGCACGATGCCTGCCCGCCGCATCTCCAGCATGACCCGCACAGATAGTATTGGCTGCCCGTAGTGTGAACAGAGCTGCATCAACACGCGGTAACATACCTGGGCCAAGAGATGTAGAAACTCAATGCAGCCTAGATCGTCAAGTCTCAGCAAGCCTTGCCCACCACAGCCTCCCAATTTCCCTGGCCTGAGTGGCTCCTTCCTGCTGATGCTGCCACCTGAAGTTCTGCGCTAAACCCAGAACATAATCATTCACTTCATGAATGTTTACATGTGTTCTGCTCCAGGCTCCCCTCTGCTTTTCCTGTTGTCTAGCAAGATTCCCACTCACAGCTGAGGTGCTGCACAAGCCCCACTGGGACCAGGCATGGACAGAGCCACAAACTGCAGGGTCGCCTACCTCATCGGGAAGCACCACCTTGCGGCTCTCCATCTCACGCAGTACATGGTAGGCTGTGTGCAATGCTCGAACTCGGGAGGGTGCTGAGCGCACGTAGGCAGGAAGACACAGAAACCATAGTCCATAGCAGTGTCCCAGCAGGCACCGGGCCCACAGCTCAGGGGCCATTGCTGACTTCTGTGCCATCCGCTGTGCAACCTTCATCTCCTAGGTGGGACAAGGGCACACCAGGGTGAGAACAGTGTGGGGCAGGTCTTAAAACAGCTTGGGGAAGCTGGAGATGGCATACACCTGTAAACCCAGCAGTCTGGGAGGCTGAAGCAGGAGGATCAAAAGTTTGAGTACAGCCTAGGCTCTAGTCTCTCTACAACTTAGAGAGACCCTGTCTCAAAATAAAAAAAAATAAACAGGGCTAAGGATATACCTCTGTGCACAGGGCCTGGGCATAATCCCCACTACAGAAAGAAAAGGAAAGAGAAACAAAAAAGAAGCAGCAGCTTCCCTCACATAGGGCCTGTTCTCTGATGAGGCGGGGGATGGGTGTAGTCCCCCCAAGGCCCTTGGACAGAAAGACTTGGCCCTCAGCATGGGCAGATGCCCAGAAAAAAGGCAGCCAGCCCCTGGATTCCCAGAGTGCTCAGGAGACAAAGATGGTGATGTTAATGGCAACCATGACAACAGTAACAATTAAGAGTGTGTATGTGCTTTTTATGTCCAAACAATTTTATCATATATCATTATTACCCCCATTTTGCAAAGAAACTGAAACAGTAGCCCTTGGTCCGAACCAAGTTGCCCTGTGGGGCCCACCTGTTGCATACCTGTTTGGTACGTCGAGGGGCAGGGCTGCTAGGGGCACTACGGGTTGGCCCAGGCACAGGCAGGGTCCCTGCTTGCTCTTGAAGAGACTCAAATAGCTCAGCCCGTAGCTCTGGGAACCCATCATAGCTGCAGGAACGGAAACAGACAACATCTGGAGCTGTCTGCACATGGCCAAGTAACTGGACTCCATTAGCCTAGAGACCCTTGAAGGAACAAAACTCTCACCAGTACTGGGGAGTGGATTCGCTGCCTTCTGGTACTGGGGGCTCCTCTGGGGGTGTGATGAAGACTGTGAGCTCATTTCCTGACAGCTCCTCCAGTTCCACTAAGGGTGTGGGCTCAGGCTTCTCCTGCTCTGGGTGGACCTGGACATAAGTTGGCATAAGTTGAGTACAGAGTAAGCCAGGGTGTCCACAGGATGGGGTTCCCCAGGAAAGCATATCCACAGGAAACAGTCCTAGCTGCACAGCTGGGAGCCAGGAATGGCCACCGTGAGAACAGGAAGCAGGCTGGGTGTATGGGCTGTGCTCTAGATAACACCAGGGGCACCATCTTTGTCGCAGCTGATGACAGAGTTGTACTTCTTTTTTTTTTTTTTCCTGGGATCAAACTCATGACCTTGCACTTGTCAGACAGGCGCTTATGCCACTGAGGTAAATCCCCGGCCCCAAGAGTTGTACTTATAGTAGCCCAGGGGCAACAGAGAAAACTGGAAGAAGGCAGTGGGCACATAGAGAAGAGCCAACGCCTGGTACCTTGTCAACACAAGAGTCAAAAAACTCGAGGGCAGCATGCCGTGAAGAGCCAAAAGAACACTCCTCAATAAACTGGGAGAACATCTGTGTGTGTAGCAGTTGGGAGTACAGCTTGTGACTGGAGCGTTCTCGGGACTTAAGGAAACCTGAGAGGACAAGCATAGGGTGGGGAGAGGGCGTCACTAGGACATTCTCCACGCCATCCCTTTCCTGTCTCCTCAGGACCCATGACCATCAAAGCTGCCTCTCTTTGGCCCCTGTTGCACAAATGCCTCACAGGCCGGGTGACCAGCTCAGTTCTGCCAGCACCATGTTCCCTTAGAGTCCCTCCCCTTTGGCCTGTTTGCACCCATTGTCACAGCACTGGACAGAGCTTTGCCATGGGTCACTATGTGCACCCTATGGCCAGGCTTTCAGACAGAAGGGCCACATCTGGTTCCTCAGACTCCAAGGAGGAGGCACACATCAGAGCTCCTTTGGCTGAGTGAAGGAGAAGCAGCTAAGTGGCTTCTAGTCCCTGCAGTCCTCCAGCCTTTGGCCACTCCCTCCCAGAATGCCTCTTCCCAGCTGACAAGCCTTCTTTACCCTGAAGGAAGAAAAGGTTGTCCACATCACGTGCACCCTCAGAGGGGGCCTGAGTGAGCGGGCGCAGGAAGTCCCGGTAGCCTTTGAGCAGACAGGCCATGAAGCGCAGGAAGGCTCCCTGGACCTCCCGCTCCAGGCGAACCCGACGGCCACACACTGCCTCATAGTCTGTCAGCAGAAACTCCAGGGATGCCTCCTCCTCAGGTCCTGTATAAGCTGGGGGCCAAGCATGCCTGAGAGTCAGGGCCTGGCCCACAGCACTCTCTTCACGTTGAAGTCTCCATCCCTGTCTCCAGCCTCCAGAGGGCCCACATGCATGCCACTGGCAGCTAAGAAATCTCCTCCAGGGAAGAGCTTGGAGCTTCCCCAGTGACAAACTGGACCTTCCTGAAGCATTCAGCAATGCAATTTGCCTCATCCTCTAGCTTCACTAGGAATTTGAACCCACTCTCTCCCACCAGATCCTCATTCCTCTAGCCTCAAAGGGGGCTCCCACACTGGAGGACTGAGTAATGGCATCTCCTGCTTCCCAGACCACCCAGGTCTCTCACTCTGGTCCAGTTGCTGGTACAGGTTTGTCAGTGTGGCCAGCAGAACCTTGTAGGGTTTACGGGGCAGGATCCGAGGAGAAAGGGGCTTCTTTTCTTCTGTCCTAAAAGACAAACACAGGAACAAGAATAACAAAACTCCTTGAGAGCCTCTCCCACTTTTTTTTTTTTTAAGACAAGGTCTTACTATGCAGTTCAGGCTGGCCTTGAGCTCACTTTGTAGCTCAGGCTGATCTTGAAGTCACAAGGACCCTCCTGCCTCAGCCTCCCAAGTGCTGGGATTACAGGTGTGTGCCACCATGCCCAGCTTCCTCTCCCACTTTTTGCCTAATGCTTCTTTTGAGCCAATAGCAGCCCACATGCCAACACAAACCCCTGTAGCCCCATATATGACACCCAGCTGCCTCTTACGGGAAGAGTGTGTTCGTGTCAAGATCAACACAGATGACATCAGCAGGTGGATCATGCAGATCGAAGTAGCTGGAGTGGATGCCCACAATGAAGGGCACAGGGGCACTCAGTACATCTGCCAGTACCAGGGGGCACAGCGGAATGTAGGGGCATTGCCAGTGCAGTGGGAAGATCATCTGAAGCACCAAGAAGGAACTATTAAGCAATGATGGGGCAACAGTAAGGGGTAAAGGGGGCAATAGGACGACTGAGAACCCTCCTCCCACAAAAGAGTCGAGGGATGGAAAGAACAGCACTTCCCTGGAAGGTGGACAGGGCAAAATGGCACTCACTGAAACAAGGGCCTCGCAGACACTGGTGAGCAAGTCTGGCCGCAGCGAGTGAACCAGTAGCTTGTGCTCTGTGAGCACAGCTAGCAGCAGTGTGACAGCCGGCTCAGGGCCCAGGCTCTGCAGCAGCTGCAAGAAGCTGGCACCACTGTAGGCAATGACAGGGTAGGGCGCAGGTCATCTGGAGACTCTTCTCTAGACACTGGCACAGTCCAGACCTCAATAAACGTCCACCTGCCTGGCACTGACCAGGCCCCCAGTCATAAAAGGTATCCTCCCAACCTGGGCACATACCTCAGGGGCAGGGGCGAGGACACAGGTTGACAGAGGAGCAGGTTGTCATAGGGAGACATCTGGGAGGGTAGAGGAACCATGGGTCAGGATGCCGATGACAGCCCTGCAGCTCCCTCGACCCACCCACCCACCCACCCATCCAGCCCCAAATGCAAGCATCACCTGCACTAGGATGCGGGGTCTCTGTGGGGAGGGGAATGGCACGTTGTGAATGAAGTGGGAGATGTGCCTGGGGGAAGAGGGAAAGTGGTGAGGCAGACACTACAGCCTCTCTTGTCACCTTCCCATATCCTCTTATCCTCTAGTACCTTACTCCTCCCTGAACCCCACTTTAAAATCTACATCAGCCATCATAGAATTTGTGCAGCTGGATATGGTAGCACATCCCTATAATCTTAGTACTTGGGAGGCTGAGGCAGGAAGGTCACCATCAGGCCAGCCTGGGATACATAGTGAGTTTAAAACCAGCCTGAATTTGAACTACATAATGAGATCCTATCTCAAAAAATAAATAAATAAGGGCCAGGGAGTTAGCTCAGCACTGTAAGCACCTGCCTGACAAGCACAAGATCGTGAGTTCGTTCCCTGGTACCAAAATAAATCAATAAGTAAAATTTTAAAAAAATAACAACTTCTGCAACTCAAAAGATAGGTTCCCTCTTGACATACACAGTCCTGCCAGCACCCAACTAGCAAGACGGGCTTATTTTCAGGCTCTCCTCACCTCTCTGCCAATGACATTTTTTGTTGTTGGTTATGCAATATTAGGGACTGAATCTAGGGCTTTTGCACTAAACTACTTTCCTGCCCTTTTTAATAAATTTCATTCTGAAACAGTCTCACTAAGTTACCTAAACTGGGCTGGAACTTGTGCTCCTCCTGCCTCGGCCTTCCAGAGTACTGGAATTACAGACATGTTGCCACCTGGCCCAGTTTAGCAACAATTTTCCCAATGAACTAACTGTCCAATCACACACAGAAGCCTATTCTCTACCTCTGTGCCAACCACCCACCCCCATAATTCTTTCCCACTGTTGGGGGAACCCTGCTCACGCTTCCAATGGCAGGCGGTGGGGGCCGGAAACAGAGTAGCGGTAGAGGAAGGTGAGGAAGGCGCGGAAGGCAGGGAAGGCAGGCCAGCGGGACAGCACAGCAATGGCCCTCCGGCTGCGCACAGCTCGGCCCCCTAGTGCCCGGCCCCGCTCCACAGCGCTCAGCAGGCCTAGTGCCTGTGCCTGCCGCTCAGACAGCCGGGCCCTTGGGAATGCCTCGTAGAACTGCAGGGCAGCACCATATACCTGGCAGGGCACAAAGGAGTGGTTAGAGGACCCTGCGGAGCCCAGGCCCCTAACCATACTCAGCGTACCCACCTTATCACCAGCGGCCCCCGTGAGCACAAAGGTGGAGAAGACGGGCACAGGATATTTGGTCTGGGCAGGCCAGCACTCGATGGTAGCCCCCATGGGCAGGCAGAAGACGGGCACTGACTCGGGAAGTGGGAAGGCCTCGTTGTCCTCCTCTGGGTAGCGGCCCAGCAGTTCTGCACCCAGGCAGAGTGAGGAGTACCAAAAGAGGGATTCCATCAGACCCCAGGAGAGGACCCGGGGGATCCCAGAAAGGATATCATCCAGGACACGGAGGGACAAAGGGTTGCTCACCTGCCTCATACACCAGCGTGTTGGCCTTGGCCAGGCCCACCTTGTAGCACAGGTACACTGCAGGGCCCCACTGCCCAGACATGGCAAGAGACAAGCAGACATAGAGCTAGCCAAGGTTTCTGGGTCCCTCTCCTCTTCCACCCCAGAGTGGTCCTTTGTCTTCAGAGCTCCGCTAAACCTTGTCCTTTAAGCCCAGTCATCCTCTGGCCTGGTCCTGGTATGAGGCCTTGATCTCAAGCTGCCCTCTGTGCCCAGTATCCATAACCTTACACTAGTGGCCCCGGTCTCAGCTTCTGGCCCCATAGCCCACTCACCATGCCAGGGTTGAGGTTGCGGGGCAGTCGGCAATAAGTATGAGGAGGGCCCTCGCCCTTGCTGGGCAGTACCAGGCAGAGGTCAGTGATGCCCAGAGCATGTAGCCCTGCCCCCTCTGCTGCCCGTCGGTAAGTGAGGTAGGTTCGGGGATGCCCAGGGCCCGGAGGGGCCAGGTTGGCTGAGTGGCTGTAGGGTGTTGTGTCAAGCACTTGGAAGCCAGGCTTGGGTCGGTCCTTCCCTTCATAAAACACCCTTGGCACAGACAGCAAAAAGACATCAACAGTCAAGATAGAAGAGAGCCCACCTTTGCCAGACCTGTCTACCTAGTTCCCAAAACCCCTCACCCTTGGCCTCACACCCTGTTCCCAGAGCCAACCTCTTCTGCACTCTGCCTTACAGGATCCTCTGCCCTCTTGTACCTTTGGCTCCACACCTCTGTTGGTTACAATCCCACAGGCCTCCCACTGCACTGATGCTCCTGAATAAACACTAAGCACTGACAGACTCTGGGCTAAGCCCCTCATGTCGTGGGTACCCCCAATTTAATCTTTTCAACTGCCCTACAAAGATTATCTTTTTTTTCCCAGGAGTACTGGTGATTGAATGAAGGACCCTTCACCCCAGCTATATCCCCAGCTCTTTTTTCTTTTAAATTAGTTTTTAATATTTTTTGAGATGGGGGTCATGTCAAGTTGCCAGGCTGGGCTCAAACTTATGATTCTCCCACCTTAGCCTCCTAGAGAGCTGGGATTATGGGTGTGTGTCACCATGCCTGGCTAGTATATTCATGCTGCAGATGAGCAATCAGGCCCTCAAAGGGTCTCCATAGCATAGCCAAGACCAGATGGCTGGCCAGCAACAGCACTTGCATGCAATCCTACACCTAGAGGACAGAGCCCATGTGGCCTCAGTCCCTGGCCTTGGGCCGATACTGTTTTCATTCTTGAGTCTTTCCCTTAGCCCATGCCCCTCCTACCACTCTGTCTCACCCCTAGTCCCTCCCAGTCTCCCTGGGCCACCAAAGGCAGGGGCACACACCCCAGCTCAACGAGGGGTGGCTTGTCACGACCCCTGCGATAGCAGATGACGGGCTGGGTTCCACCCAGGAGCCCAGCACTCAGTTCCAAAGGGTGGCCTCCAGCAGAAGTCTGGATGCAGGTGTAGCCCTGGGGCACCTCCTCGCCCAGTGCCCTGGCGATGACTGCCACATCTGTGATGGGCTCAGCTGGCCGGGAAGGGCGCAGGAGCCCACTGGGTTCAGGAATCCGAGTCTCCTCAGGTATAGGTGCTCTGTTCCCCGCAAGCCCAGCTACCACGAAATAATCCACGAGCCGGGGGGGTCGCTCCTCCGCCATGACACCCCCTTCACTCACAGCATCTAAAATGGTCAAGTAGGAGAGACAGAGCAAGAGTCTAGTGTTGCCATGGCAACTAGAGTGCTATTCCCCACCCTGCCTTCCTCTTCCTGGTCCTTCCAAGGAAAGGTGGCATAAGTGGTCAGCCAATCCTGAACTCCCCCACCTGTGACATCATAAGCTTTCACCACATACTTCAACTGCTTAAAGAGAGCAGGTCCCTCCCATTTAGTGGGATCTTTTCAAAGAACCCAAACTCCAACCCACCACATACAGTCAACAGAGTTCTGATATCCTATTGCCTGTAACCCTATTAAAGGACCCACCCCTCTTCATTCCTTACATATAAAGTAAAAATGTCACTGTGACCAGTCTTTTCTGTGATGACATCACCCATGCTGGCCATGACATCATACCAAGCTTAGTGTTTCTTAAAGGTTTCTGGCTTTCTAGGACCTCCCAATCCAGTTAATGCTGTTTAAAAAGTCTACTCCTGAACTGGGGATATAGTTCAGCAGCACAGTGCCTGCCTGGCAAATGTGAGGTCCCGAGTTTGATTCCAAAATAAATAAATAAACAAACAGCCCACTCTTAAATTTCTAGGAGGACACCATGGGTTTCTGGGAAAACTCACAAGCTTTGGTTTCTTTTCAGTGGACTTGTTTCTTGTTTTCTAGATTACCTCCACCAGCCTAGCCCACCCTCTCGCCTCTAGGGTCTATGGGTATCTCCAGTTAGGATCAAAATGGCTGTGCGAAATAGTGTGGCTATCCCATGCCCTTTGCAGCAGAGCCCCCAGAGAGAGTCAGGCCCCTAAGTAACTTTTCTCACCTGCCTCCATCGCCCGACCTGACCCTGGGAATAGTAGCCCCCAAGGATCCTGAGGCGCCCTGGGGTGCAGAAGCTGGGAAAGTGCCTGGTGGGTGGCTTGCAGCAGGAGCCGGGAGACGTGGGGGTGCTTTGGAGGGGAAGGGAGGTGACTTCCTGAAACAGTGAGGGGAAGCTACAGCTCGGCAGAAGTCGGCCTATGGGTGTGTGCAGTGTCACTGTGGTGGCTGTGGAGGGGGTGGTGCAGCTGAAGGTGCCAGCACAGCATCTTGCCCAGCCAGGACCTCAGACCAGAAGCCCTGAGCAAGGAAGGAAGACTGAATGGCTCCAAGATGCACCCCAGAAAACCAGTACTAACGGCATCTCCGGGAGCAGGGCTCTCTGCTTAATCTGGCCTCTGGACACATGAGCACCAACCCCTGCTAAATTTAGCCTCCGTGTCTAGGAGGTGAAGCCAGGAGCCAGCGTCAACCCCCGGATTTAACTGGGCACGGCTCCCTTCTTCACGTGCTGGAAGCGAACGGGTGTCCCGTGCCTGAGGCAGCATGCAAAGGCGACTAGGTGGAACAGCTCCAAGAGCAGGAGGGTGGCCCCACCCGCCGGACCTGTGTCGGGGAGGGTTCTACAGGCGCAACCCTTCCCCTGGAGCCAGGCACGCAGCCTTGGCCAGCCCGGGTCCCCACGCCCACGTGGGTCGGCGGGAAGTTGGGGCTGGGGCTGAGGGCGCGCCAGCCTCGAGGACGTGACGGCACAGCGCGACCGGCGCGTGACCCGACGCGAGATGCTCGTGCTCCGCACCCGAGGAGGCAGGAGGGGTGCGGGGTGCCCAGCGCCGTGGGCTTGCTCGATCTGCGCCCTCCCCTCCACTTTCACTTCCCCAGTGGGGAGGAAGCGGAACCAGATGTGCGCGCTGGGGCACAGCTGGGGTTGACCCCGCCGCCCTCCCACCCTCCCTGCCCTGCCCGGCCCCTACTTGCCTGCCCCGTGGCTCCCCGGCCGGCCGGCCCGCGGCGGGGGGCTCGAGGGCGGGCTGGCAGGCCGGCGGGCGATGGGGCTACCCGGCCCCGGACATGGCGCCCCCGGCTCGGGCGCTGCGCCCGCCCAAGCGGCGAGCGGAGGAAGAGGCGCCGAGGGCAGCGGGGCTCCGGGAAGGGAGAGCTGGGCGGTCCCAGTGTCCCCGCCGCGTTGCGCTACGCGGGGACTATGTTGCCGCGCCGCGAACTGGGGCCGTGCGGTCTGCCCCGCTACGGCGGCGCCGGGGGCCCAGCGCTCTTTCGTGCGCCCCGCTTTCTCGACTCCCCCCAGCCCCCCTCCTGGTCCGCGGGCGCCGCCACCCCCCCACCTCAGCCGCCGGCCGTGACCCTGGCTAGCGCCTGCCCAACGCCCAGCCGCCTGCAGCGCGACCCCTGGCGGCTGGGAGGGCCCCCTGCACCCAACTGGTTTTTCCACCCTTCTGTTGATGCCCGAGGACACTGACCCCAAGTGGCCCTAAGGTCCAAGGCGTGTACCGGTCCACCCTCGATCCCACGATCAGATGTGGTGTACTGGGCCACAGTGGAGGCCTGAAAACTTAGACCTTAGGGTCCCAGATGGCTCCCCCTATCTTCATGTTTGATATACATTACATTTCCTGCAGGCCAGAGCCAGAAGCTCTCATTTCTCTTTTCTGAAAATGACAAAAGAGCTTTGAAAAGAGGAAGGGAGGGAAGCCAAGACTGTAGGGAGTGGAACAGCACAGAGGTGGTCTGTGGATGGCCAGTTAAGGAAAAAGCAGAGGCCCAGACAGCCAAAGGGATGGCAAACTGATGCAGAATAAGGAAACCACAACATGGGTGGGAAGCAGGAACTGCTTAATTAAAACTCAGATAAATGAGAGCATGGTGGAGGGGCTTCCCTGAGACAGCAACAGGGGGTCTAAGGCTTGCCTAAGTCCTTGAGGTATACCTAGCGGAGAGAGACTTCTCCTGAAGTTTAGCCATTGAATCCTTTCTCAAAAGCCAGGCCAGGGGTGAGGAAGAAGAGGAACTTATCTGGCCAGCCACGGTCTCTGTCCCCAGTGTGTCTACAGCAGAGCCCTGAGCATGAGGGCACATGAGGTGACATCCTGCTGTCATGGAAGCTACCTCCATCCATCCTGTGGTCCCACATCCAACTTGAGGTCTGAGGTTGGTAAGGCTTTCACCAGCTACAGCAGTATTAAAAAGACGCAAAAAGCTTGACAGAGAAAGTCTTGTGGCCCAGGAACTCCCCGATTTCCAGCCACATGCCAAACAGTAGCCAACCACAGGATTTAACAGGATTTTTTTATTAACATATAATATATTTAATAAAAAATAATATCCACTCTGGCTCTCTCCTCCATTGCAAGGGGAAGAGTGGTGAGGAGGGGCTGGCACTGCCCACTCCTAGGCATCTGGACAAACCCTGCCTCTAGGGTTCCTCTACCCCTTGCTTTCCAACAGGCTCTGACCTCCAGATAGACGGTTTTCAAAGTTACAAGTGCTTTAGGCCCTCCCTTGAGCTCCCCGAGGCCCATCCACCACATAGAATCCAGGAGCTGCCTAGACAAACCCCTTGCCATTTCTCATTCTTAAGAGTCCTTCATTCATTTCAGAAAGAGAATCTGGGGACAGAGAGTGGAGTCTCTACTGGCCAGGGGAAGGGAGGAAAGGGACAGTGACGGGGCGGGGTCAAGGATGGTGGTGAGGCTCCTCACTGTAGCCGATCACTGCGGAAGGAATCCTCCACAGCAGGATCTGGCAGCAGGGCGCAGGGGTCACTCAGCATGTTTAGTCCTTCCAGTCCCAGTGGCTCCATATGCAGCTCATCTTCCAGCCCCAGCCCGAGTTCCAGCCCAGCTGCCGACACCTCAAAGCCAGGAACTCCAGCCAGAGCTGCTGCAATTTCCTTCGAGAACCCTGGAGAGGAGTCTTCTGTGGGTAGAACAGGAAGATGAGGACCCTATGCCCTGTGATCTCCCTAGAGTCCTCAACCACAAATGTCAACAAAGGTATCACTGCCTCCTTCTACTCCGTTACCCCTCACTACCTCACCTGTGAGGATGATATTAGGTCCTGAGCCATGGCGGGAACAATGGGTCAAGTTCTGGTGGTTGAGAGTGTGAGGGTCCTGAGGGCCACCTGCTGACCCCTCAGCCCCTAAAAATCCAGGACCCTCAGAAAAGCCAGAGGGATCCAGCACCAGGCTGGTCGATGGAGTCTCCAGGCTGAATGTCTCCGGCTACGGACACAGAGAGACCTTAAGAAAGTCTCCTGACATGTCTGTCACCTTTGCCCACCCATCTTCAGCCACCCCAAGAATGGAGGCACAGACAGAGGGAGGTGGAAGCAAGCAGAGCAACAGAAGCAAGCACGGGGCCCGAAGTCCATGTGGGCACCGTACCTGCTGGGCCAGAGAGTGTGCATGCCAGGAAGAGAACGGGTCAAGGCGGAGTCATCAAAGAGCAAGCTGAGCAGAAACAGAGGGGCAGAGGGGGTCAAACGCGGGAAGACAGGAGCCCCAAGCTTGCAGTGCTGTTACCCAGGGTGAGGGCAGACTCTTCCCAATTTGCAGTGTACCAGACAGAGCTCTGCTCAGGACCCCATACCTGCCCCTCCTCCCCCACCTCAGAGTACAGACCCTAAATACTCACATTCCCCAGGTTGAAGTTGTTCCCTGGCCGATGGTAAGCCTGTTGCACATGTCCACTGGACCCAGTGGGATATGGAGTCCCGTAATGAGGCTGCCTGCCTGGGGGCTGCCCACCTGAGGGCTGCACCAAGCAGGCCTGAGAGGGCAGCCCTGGCTGCTGTGAAGCCTTTGGGGTTGGGGGCTGCGTAGGGAGAACCAAACTTGGGGGACTATATGGATATGGGGGCAGCCGCTGGTCAGTAGGCAGTTTACTAGTGTCCAGGGGGACGCCCTAAAAAGAAGTGAGGAAAAGGGGACGCTTAGCTTCAGGTGCATTCCCCTAGTAACTCTTAGCCAGAGCTTCCCACCCACTAAGCAGCATCCATTCTAAACACAGCTGCGACTCGATCCCACTGCCCTGGCACTGGGCTGGCAGCAGTCACTAAATACTGCTGAGTGAGACCAATGCATGGAAACAGATCTACTGCAGATATGGCCATGTGTCAACTGTGGGACCCAAGCAGTGGCCAGTAACAAACACTGCTGCCTGCTGAAGCCACAGTGCAGGTGGGGCTGCTGTCCTGAGGCCCTGAAGAGGCCAGAGGAAGTGGGAAAGGAAGGAAGGAAAGCAGCAAAGGAGGGAAGGAAGTTCCCTTATCCCAGGTTCTAGAGGAGCAGAGTTCACAGTGGCCTAGCCTCAGTCTTCCCTGCAGGACAGGGTAAGATGGAACACAGCACACATTCCAGGGAATGGGATGGGGCAGGAGGAAGAGAAAGCAGGGGATCAGGACAAAGAGCATGACGACCAAGGGGAATGGGAGAGGAAATGGCAAAGGAAAAAAATTTAAAAAGAAAAAAAGGATAGGGAGGGAAAAAACTAAGAATTTTAGCATTAAGGAAGATACTCCTGAAGTTGAAGAGTTTGGAGTTTCAGCCCCAATTCGTTCTAACTTGCTGTGTAAACTTGGGGAGATGATTTTTCCTATGGGCCCGTTTCCTCATTCAAACTATATGGTGGTTGGGACTGAGAGTCTCTGACACTAAATTCTATGAAAAAAGGAGGGGAAGTGGGAGACAAGACAGGACAGGACAGAGGCCCAGGGGTAAAAATCAAGACAAGAAAGGACAGGAACCCAGGCATGGTGGTGCATGCCTATAAATCCCACCACTACAGGAAACTGAGGCAAGAGGATTACGTGTTTGAGGCCAGCCTGGGCAACTTAATGACTTAGAATCTATTTCAAACAAACAAACAAAAAACAATTAAAGGCTGGGTAGGGAAATGGGGAAAAAAAGAATCAAATTATATCATATACAAGCAACAAATTCTCTATGATAAATGTGATCATTATGTATATCTAAAATGTAAAAATAAAATCTGATTGAAGAACAAATATACAACAAAACCAAAACCAAACGAACAAAAAACAGCAAAGGTTCAATTCCCAGCACCACCAAAAAAAAAAAAAAAAAGAAAGAAAGAAAAGGAAAAAGAAAAACTTGTCTACTAAGCACGCACCTAAGCTAGGCACTTACTTATTTTTACAGTTTAAGCTCAGGGACTACTAAACTATATTCCAACCCCCTATCTGCCCTTTTGAAAAGGGATGCACTAACCTGCCTAGACTGGGCTCACACTTGTGATCCTCCTGCCTCAGCCTCCAAGATTATCCTCCAGCCGGGATTATAGACATGTGTCTACACCACACCTAGCTTCTACGTACTTCATGTATATTACCACATTGGCGCCTTAACTATCCTTCTCTTACAAAAGTGACTATTGAAGCTCACAGAAGTCAAATAACTTTAAAAATAAAAGAAACAAAAAAAGAAGTCAGGGCTAGGGATATAGCTCAGTGGCATAAGTGCCTGCTTGGCAAGTGCAAGGTCCTGAGTTCAATTCTCAGTACCAAAAAAAAGTCAAACACCTTTTTAAAGGAGATGGCTAGTGTACTGAGGCAGAGCCAAGATTTTAAACCAGAAAGCTCCAACCCTAGAGTTTGCACCCATAAGCAAAGGAGACAAAATGGATACAAGGCAGAGAGGTAGAGAACAGAGGCCTGAAAGGGGATGGGTGAGACGAGGGTATAGGAAGTAAGGGGAGAAGCGTGTGAGGAAAGGCGAGAAGAGGGTAGAAGCGGAGGAGGGAGACGGACACAGGGAGGGCAACCACGCATACCTGAGTGATGGAAGACAAGGTGGGTGACATTGTTGGCGAAAACTGTTTGGGCAGCTGCTGTTGGGACCTTCTGGCATCCACAGGGCCCGCGGGCAAACTCAGGGGGCTGAGGGGCACACGGCGGTGGCGAGGGGAGGCCCCAGGGGTGGAAGCTGGGTAAGGTGGCGCGCCCAGGACGGGAGAGGAAGTAGAAGAGGAAATGGAAGAAGAGAGGGCCGGGGCACTGAGTGATGGGTGTCCCAGGGAGGTGGCAGGCAATGGGTGGCGGGCTAGGGAGGAGGCAGGCAAGGAGGGGTGACTGTGAGAGCCCTGGAGCTGGGGCTGGGGACTGCTCAGGGAAGCCTGGAGGTTGGGATTACTCAGGGAAGACTGTAGGGAGGGGTGGTTGAGAGGTGAATGAAGTCCTGCAGGCACAGACAAAAACCAGAGACACCAGCATTACCAATGAGAAGTGGGTCCCTCTCTGCCCAGAAGGACGGACTAATAACCATGGAGGTGGCAATACAATGTCCTCCTACTCTGTTCCTGACAGCAAGACTGCCACCTGGCAGCTGCTTTCCATCTGCCCTCTGGGAAAGGCCACATCTACCAGTTCTCATAGGCTGAGAATGGCAGGGAAGGGTCCTGGGATACAGGGCTGGTGGCTGGTGCCAGTCACAGGATCCTGGCTCAAGCATCTCTCCTCTTCTTCAGCTGGAGGGCACACGGCCAGCACGGCCACTCACCTGGCACATTGTAGCCAGGGCTCAGGCTCAGCCCTCCACTAATGCCCAAGTGGGTCATGGTGTGGGTCAGGTTGGAGGTGCTGCTGCCCCCACTGAGGCTGGGGTACGCTGTCTCCTCTGGGTCCAGAGGGGTGGGCAGAGGTGGGGGGAAGTGCAGGTTGGTGAGGTCAGGCAGGGAGCCCCCCGTGCCCATGGCAGGCGGGAGGACAGGCACATTGGCAGGCTGGTCAGGAGATGGGAAGATGCTAGAGGGAGAAGAGAAAGACAAAGGCAGATTCCAGGGGCCTGTGAGTGGGGGAAGCAGAGGCGGGACTTCATCTTCCCACACTCCCCATTCTCACTTCTAAGCCAACTTCCGGGGACACTTACTTAATTCCAGGGACTTCACAGGACCGAGGTCGGGAGGAGGATGAGGACAGCTGAAAAAAGAAACAATGTAGGAATGAGGGTGGTGCTCCGTGGGCACGAGGGGCATGGGAGACAGTGGTGGCCCACATCTACCTTCTTGGCATCCCACGGTTTCAGCAGATACTTGTCATCTAATAGGTTCTCCTCCACGGCAGGGACTTGAAATGGAAAGACTGGTGACGGGGAGCCTGGAGCAGGGGTTGGGGGGCAGGACTGGAAGCAGAGGCAGGTGGAGAGGAGCCCTGTCCCCACAGCAGCCCAGAAACCTGAGGGCAGGTGATGACCGCTGGCAGTGAGAAGCACATACCTTTGGAGTCCATTTCACCATCCAGAAAACCTGCAAGGAGGAGCAGAGCTGGCGTCAGTGCCCACTCATCTTCCATGGGCACCGCAGCCAGGGAACTCAGCTACTTACCCCCACGGCGGCTGGGCAGGACACTGGGAGTGGTGGGGCCTGGATAGCTGTCCTGGGAGCTGGGGTTCATCACACTTGTGTGAAGGGCAGAGTCAGAGCTCGTCCTGTAGGGAGCAGACATGAAATGAAATGACAGCAGTGACAGTCGTCTAAGTCTCCAAGCCTGCCGGGCTTCATCAGAATTAGGTGTGGACGAGAGAGTAGTGCCCAGAAAGCAGGGGTAAGAACAGAAAGGCTGAAGGGTAAGGGCCTCACCTATTAAGTGCAGAAGGCAATCGAAACAGCTGTCCCTTCTCTGCAGGGAAATTGCCCCAGGGCATCGTCCTGGAGTAGGAAACAAAGTCATTACACAATGAAGTACTATTCTACCATAAAGAAGGGTAAGTCTGACTCATCTGTAGGCAAATGGATGCATCTTGAGATCACATTACTAAGTAAAATGAATCAGACACAAAAGCTGAAATATGGCATGGTTTCTCTTACATGTGAAGTCTAATAATTTAAAGAGCAAAGTGGAAGATAGATAATAGGAAACAAGGGGATAGCTCTTTCGCAAATGAGTTGTTTTATGCTTTTGTTATTGTTACTATTGTTTTTGAGACAACACCTCATGTTATAGTTTAGGCTGGCCTTGAACTCATAGGGATCCTTCTGCCTTAGCCTCCTGAGTGCTACTGGTTAAGGGACCAAGAGATAGAATGGAACAAAAGGGAGAAGGAAAAGTAAGAAGAGTTAAGATGTGCTGTATCAACTCCCCACAATGAATATGATCATTATGTGTTCCAAACATATACTGCTAAAACTTAAAAAGAAAGAAAGAAAGCCAAGTAAAAGGGAGAAGAAAGGCTTGCGATGGACAAGGCCGCATGGGGGTTGGGGCAACCCAAGTGAAAGTGTAGAGGCTAGGTATCAAGTCTCATGCCTTTTTCTTTTGTGTCTTCTGATGCTGAGACCCACAAATCCCCAACCCCAGTCGACTATGAGATCTAGAAATGCCTCTAGTCTTCTCTGCCAGGACAAGCTGAATAGGAATGTTGGAAGCCAGCAGCTCTGCTGGATAAGAATCCTGGGGCTCAAATGGATACACTCAGAGAGCCAATAATGTCCCAGCCTGGTACCACCCTGGAAGTGGACAACAGTTCTCATCTACCACCCTCCCCTGCCCCTCCCCATCTCACACCCCATCTTGGCTATAGTTCCATTGGTTCTACTCCGGCTGGACTGGGAGGCTGGGCCACTCGTTTCAACACTGCCCAGACTGGACTCTGACCACCTACTCCACTGGTGTGAGAGAGGAGGCTCTGTGTTCCAGCCCCTACAGATCACTGAAGAATGGCGGGGAGATGTGCCTGCCATGGACTCACCTTCGCCAACTGGACTCCGGAGGAGGAGACAAGTAGGCAGGGCTGTAGGGAGAACTGTCAATGTGAACAGCACATGTTAAGGAAGAAAGTACAGAGGAGAGAGGTGGCATAGAGACCAGATGAAAAGACTGATGCAGCCAAAAGACAGTTATCTTAAGAAACACAGCTGGGGCTGGGAATTTAGCTCAGTGGCATAAGTGCCTGCCTGGTAAGCACAAGGTCATGACTTCAATTCCTGGTACAAAAAAAAAAAAAAAAGAAAAAGAAAAAGAAACGCAGCTGGAGCTGGTTGTGTGATTCCAACTGCTTGGAAGGTTGAAGGAGGAGGATTATAAATTCAACCCTGACCTGGGTAACTTAGGGAGACCCTGTCTAAAAACAAATCTTACAAAGAGCTGGAGATATAGCTCAGTTGGTAGAACAACTCTGGATTCAATTCCTAGTATAAAAAAGAAAAAAACAGAAAGGAAGGACACATACCTTTCACCTCTACAAGGTACTATAGTAGGGTCAAAGACTAGAAGAAAAGGACTAGAGTGGTACAGTGTGCTTGCCTAACATGCACAAGGCACAAGGTCCTGGATTCTAGCCCCATCACCACACACACACACACACACACACACACACACACACACACACACAGAATGGAATCAAGCCTCGCACAATCTATGAGACTGACAGGGCTTAGGTATCACAAGTGTGTACATTTCTGAGATTGAATGCTGAGAACAAACCAGTGGGGTCATGCATGCCTGTAATCCCAGTACTTAGGAGGCTGAGGCAGGAGGATCACCATGAGTTTGAGACCAGGCGGGGCTACATAGTGGGCTCAAGGTTAGCCTCAACTACATAGTGAGGCAACTACAACAAAAATTAAAAATAATAACGGCCTGGAAACATATCTCAGTGTGAAGGCCCTGGGTTTAATATCCAGTACTGGACAAAAAAGAGAGAGAAAGAGAGAAGAAAAAAAGCAAGCAAGCAAGCAAGCAAGCAAGCAAGCCAATAACAGATGTGAGAAGGGATCACACTTCAATTAACAGGAGATCAATTGGGGAGCTCTGCCTGCACAGGAAAGTAAGCTGACGTAAGGCCAGCTAGCGCCAGCCAGAAAGGAGGCCACAGCCTTGGGTGCAATGATTCCATCACCACAGCCTATACAGACACACAGGTTGCAGTCAGTTTCCAGGGAGCCTGGATAAAGGTGAGTTTGGAGAAAGGATGGAACTGGGTAACATTTTGAGTCCCTGGAGAATCCCTCCTCAACGCTAGTGCGCCTCCCACAGCCTGTAGGAAGGATATGTGGCGTGGGTATCGGCGGAGTGGGGACACCATCCTGCGGGGGTCTCTCTGTACCCGTTCCACCAGCCCATGATGCCGAGTGCTCCGTGATGAATCCAAAGGTGAGTGGAGGGGGCTCTGCCAAAGTGATAGGTGAGTCAGCGGGGGAAGACACCAGAGAGCCTCTGCCCATCCCAGTTTTGCATCCACTCACCTGGAACTCAGCCAGGCCACAGCCAATTTGGTTAACATTGGGCAGAGAACCACCATAATGAGAGCTCCTTGTGTATGCCAGCCGCAATTTTTGGGCCTGCAACTGAGACATGAGGGACAAATGGGAATATCAGAGAGGGTTCTGAGCTCTATTCCTTTGGCCATCCTTGCCATTACTGGCAACAGGATGTACTGCTATCGCTTTTAAGGTTATCTGACAGAAGAAAAAAAGCCAGAGTTGGAATAAAGATTCACCAAAACCTGGTTTAAACCACCTACCCCATCCCCTCTGCAGGCTCCCTACATGGGTGACCTCACTAGCACCTCACAGCACCCTGCCAGGTAGAGAGAGCCCTGCCTCAGGCAGCATCAGTCTAAGCTGTCCCTGGGGTTACCAGAGGCAAGCCACAAGGATGGGTGTCCTGGGCAGCTCTGCTTTCAGTTCCAAATATGCCCAGGATGGATTAGAAGAGCTCCACCATTGCCAATCTCTCATTTCATACTATTAACAGTGTAGATTTCTCAAGAAAACTCCACAAAACCTGCACCTCTCAAACCAGAAGATCTAAGGGATGCTGACTCTCTTAGATACAAAAGTGGGGCATTTTTTCCAGGATGCTAAAGCCCCTGCGTTAGAGAATTCTGAATAATAGGGATGGGTGAGGATACAGAAACCCACTCTAGCCTGAGCCAGAGCCCTTTCCGGCTCTTGTTTGTGGGAGATATGACCAGCACAGAAGTGAGATACAAACCCTCAGCCTAAACAGAGTTAGTCTGTCAGCAGCTCTCTTGTCCCTGACGAGAGGTGAGTAGCTACTTCCAAGGTTCAGTCACTATCGCAAGCCAAACAGACCCAAGACAAGGCCATGGTGAGGAAGGCAGCTGAGGAGGGGTAAGTAGTGAGTTTCCAAGGTCAGTGTTGCACATAAGCCAACATCAGAAATAACTTTCTGTTCCAGCAGGATGGCTCAGTGAGCCACTGGCCTCTGGACTACTTCACAACTACTGTTAATACAACATATACGGCAACCCCAACTTTCCAATGGCATAGGCCCCTATGGCCATTTCTGCCTCAAATGATCCCTCTCATGCAACAGGCTGAGCTCCAGGTCTCGCCCCAAGTCTCGTAAGGTATGTCTGCCACACTTTTCTGTATTAAGAAAAGTTAACCAGTACAGGAGAGATAAAGGCTACCCAAAGAGGTTTTTCACAAACCACTGCACCATAAAGATAGAAGCCTAGCTTGGAATTTCTCACAGCCTTTGTCAGTTTGCACATAAAAGCCCTTAAAATCAGTCCAGAGGGCAGGCCCTCAAGCTGTCTGCTGGAGACTGGTGTTTCTTCCATCTTCTTGTCTTTGTCCTGCTATGATCAAAAGCTCCTAAAGGAACCAGTCAATAGTTAGATCACAATCTTCATAGTGATTAGAGTGGGTTATGAAAGTGTGTATAAGCATGCATGCGTATACACACACACACACACACACACACACACACACAGGGAAGATTTGCCTCTCCACCTTTTTCTGTTTTGACTCCCACTAACTAGGGCATGTGGTCCCTAGAGACTCCAAGAAGCAAAATACAAAAACACTAACAGAGTCAAGGGAGATACACACAAAAACACAATCAGAATTACAGTCATAGATGCAATCAGTCTGCCCAGCAGAAAGCGCCTTAAAATTTATGTTCCACCACCCCCTCTTGAATTCCTCCCAACTCTTTGCCATGAGGGATCACTGCAATATCCTCACCTGCTGTTGTGAGAATAATGTGTCCCTAAACTAGGACTGCCTACTAACTGAGCAAACTCCTGCCCTGGTTCCCTCCGATATTCAATTCTGGAAAGCAAGGAATCAAGGATAGAGGACCTTCAGAGGCAGCGTGGTAGAGGCCTGAAAGTTGTTTATCAAACTTCCTAGGAATGAATATCCCTAAAACATAAAAGACTCTCAAAAGACACTCTAGAAATCGAAATACAAAGCATCCATTCCCCTAGAAGGCTCAGCAAACTTACATGTAGGGCTCCCAACAACCTGTAGCAAACTGGTTACCCAGCTGTGATTCGAAGCCTCTATCTTCCCTTCAAAGCAGCCAGAACCAAACACCAAGTACCAGTGTGTGAGCAGTGGACCTTACCTTCACGTCAGGAAACCACAGAAGTATTTGAAAAAGGAAGCAGAGGGACAGGACGCAGGAGGGGACTTCCTGGCCCGCTACCCAGCACTGCTCCTACTCAAGGGGCCCTTTCCCGTGGGTACCAAAGCGCCAAAGAGTGGCCAATAGGGCAAAGGAACTATTTTGGAGATCACAGACTCAAAGAAGGCAGGTTCGGGACAAACAAGCTATCCTCCTCTGCCCACAATCCTTGATCAAGGATGCTTCATGCAGTTCTCCAGGGTACTCAACCAGGGATGCACGGGGACCACCCATCTCCGCCAGACATCAGGGCCCATTCTCCTCTCGGCCCCACTCCTACCGCACGGACTCGGCCCCCAAACTCAATCTCTCCGAGTGTCGGGCTTCCAGGCAAAATCCGCCTTTCTACCCCCGATCTCAACCTCCAGATCTCAACCTCCCAGAACACTGCGCCCACCCGCTCTGCCCGTTCCGCCTCCTGGCCGCGGCCCCCGCCCTCGCCCCGCCTCCACACCCGGCTACCAGGCGCTGCCCCTTACCCGGGTGGAGCCGATGTCCATCATCACCTCCTCGAAGGCCGCCGTCTCCTCGGCCTGACGCTGCTTCTGCAGCGCTATCTTCTCGCTAAACTTGCGCGGATTGGAAGACGAGGGCGCGGCGGAGCCGGGCCCGTTTGCCCCCGACGTCGCCATCTTCCTCCCGCGTCCCTCCCCCCCACCTTCCCAGGACAGGCCACGGCCTCCGCCGCGGGCCCCGGCACGGCTCCCCCAGCCTTAGCCGCCGCCGCCTCCGCGAGCCCCGCAGACCGGCCCCAACCTAGCCCGGACCTGTGGCGCGCGGTCTGCCGGGATCCGTAGTTTGTTTACGTGACCCCCTCACGCCAGTGGGCACGCAACGCAGGGAGGAAGCGGACTCCACTTCCCGGCAGCCTCATGGGCGCCCCGAGCCGGGACTCTCCCCGCCCGAGCCCACTCCCTGCGCAAGGGAGTTTGGGAGTAGTAGTTCCAAATCCGCGCCAAACCGACAAATGGTAAAGAGACAGGAATAAGAAGAGAGGAAGAGGAAGGGAAACAAGGGGAAGGAAAGGGGTGGAGATAGGTAGGGAAGAAAGGAGAGACAAAGGAGAGAAAATTGGATTATCTTCAGGAAAGGGCACTGTTGAAGCCTAGTGAAAGCAATGAAATCAAGGCTCCTAAAACAGTAGTGAACATCTGGAACTCAAGTCTTCTTTGGCTGGCAACGTGCTCACCCCTGCCCCAAGACAAATGAAGCCGATACCATAGACATGTATACAAACATCTTTTATTTGGCTGATGTGTTCCAAAACAGGTCAATTAGTAAAATAGATTCTAGAGAATACGGCCTATACATAGCCCTCCCTTCCCAAAAATATCTCTGGGGTTGGACATTTCCCTCCCCCTGGGCTCATCAGATATAAAAAATGTTTGGCAGCTCTGTGTTTACCACCTGTATTTACACCATGTCCACGACCCTTCCCTATTCCTAGGGTGCAGCAGCAGCAGGGGATCACAGGTCTCCCCTCAAGCCAGCCTAGCTGAAATTTTTGCCCCATCCAAAATATAGAACCAAAACAAAAAACAAGTAGGTCCCTGACACTGAGGTGTTGGGCAGAGCCTACTGCCATCTCTCTGTGCTTTGAGAAAATGGGGATTTGTTTGGCACTTTAAAAACAGAGGAGTGAGCAGGACTAGGGAGGTCAGGAAGGTACTGAAATTGGTACGAAGAGGCTATTTGGCACTAGTGCCCCTGGGAGAAGAGCAGGAGGTATATATAGGAGATAAGAAAAGTAGGAAGGGTCCACTGAAGGTGGCAGGGTGCCAAACAGGCTACTGATTCTGGACCCTGCCCTCTATGTTTTTATCCTACCGTAGCTGTGGCTGGGTACCCACCACCTCCAGCTTCCCCAGTGTCAGTTTGCCCATGTGAGTAGTGTGTGACCTCTGACCCTGGCAGTCAGGGTCTGCTTCAATGCTAATGTCCCCTGATCAAATCTTTAGTGACTTGACTACTGTTTCTTGGGCTTGGGGTCAGGTTCTTTTCTGCCCATTTCTCTCATTAGACATAACCCAAAAGGCTCCTTTCCTATCTCCCAGAGAACTCTGTCCTCATACCTCCCTTCCTCATTCTTTCCTGTTTTCCACGCCCTGGGGGAGAGAAGGCTAGAAGCACCTGATAGGCAACTTCCCCTGCGCCCTACAATGAAGCCCCCTAAATATGGATGAAGAGCAGACCAGTAAGCACAGCAAAACCTGCTAGGAGCAGAATGACCTTGAGGATCCTCTGCTCTGAAGAGGCCAGCTCCTGGGGCAGGATTTCCAGGAAAGTAATATAAAGGAAAGTGCCAGCTGCCATGCCCTCCAGCACAGACTGGGCCAACTGGTGCAGAGGCCCAGCTGACTCTGCCAGAGCAGCACCTAGCCCAATGCCCAGAGGTGTCATGCATGAGAAGAGGATTCCACAGCCAGCTACAACCTGCACCCGAAGGTGGCTCTGCAGCAACCTGAGGGACAGACTGACAGCCAGGATACCCTTGTGGAGAAGTAAGGCCAGGCACAGCTCCATGGCCCGAGCCCGGTCTCGCTGTAGTCCCACTGCTAACCCCTCAAACACTGAGTGCAGGGCCAGAGAAAAGACCAGTACACAGGCACGCAGAGCTGAAGGTGCTGCCGAAGCTCCTCTTGCATGGGGGACCCCCAGCCCATCATGCCAATGCTGCGGCCCACTGTTCACTGTTCCCAGCAGAGCCCTTGTTTCCTCTCGACGTGGTGGCCCAGACTGCTCCTTGTAAGCCAATGTGATCTGCTCCATCACCAGGACCAAGAAAAAGCCCATGGCCAGGATGAACTCTTGCAGGGGGAACTGGAGCTGTGGGCAGAGATGGTAGCTAAATGTCTGGAGACAGGACAAGATCTGATAGAGGCCCAGTTACAAACATAAGTCTCACACAGAACCATTCTTTGTCACACAGTGAAGTGACTTAATCAGAAACATAGAAGGATATACAATCACACAGATTATGGTATCTCACACAATGCTACATGTAAACCAAAGTGGTTCAACTTTGGCCCTTACATTTGACCCAGACAATTCTTTGTCAGAGAGCTGTGACATACACTGTATTTTATACAGCATTCTGACCTTTACCAATATGATGTTAGGAACAAATGCAATAGCCCTTGCCCAAGCCCTTGGTATTTGTGACAACCAAAAACATTTCCAGAAATTATCAAACGTTTCCTGGGTACAGCTGGGTATGGTGGCACACGGCTGTATCCCAGCACTTGGGAGGCTGAGGCAGGAGATCACTGCAAGTTTGTAATTACCCTGGACTACAAAGTAAGCTCAAGGCCAGACTGAAAAAAAAAAAAATCAAAAAAATTTTTTTCCTGGGTATAAAACCACCCTAGTTGACAGTCACTGTTACAGACACCTAAATGTCACATATAGGCATAAAAAACCAGAGTACCATGTGGGCCCATTTTCCAAATGCTCACAGAGCCATATGATGTCACAGGGTCAGTCACACTGTCACGAGGACATTCGTACAGAAGGGACAGTTCACTTGGTCACATATGTACAGAGGGCTGGTGTTACTTCCTCAGTGTTGGGGGAAAAAGAGCAAGCTCAGGTTCGGGATAACTTCCCTACACCCACCTTTCTCAGTTTTTCTATAATGAGACTGCCTACATGTTGGACTTGACCATTGGCCATATCCCATTTCCTTGAGCTAAAGCCTTTTGGTCAGCAACACCAGGTCCCTGGAAATCGCCCCCTATCCTTCCCAGTCCTGCAATGAACTTTATGTCTGAACCTTCAACAAGCAAGAGGGAATGAGAGATTCTTGGAGCACTATTAACATCAAGGTGACTCGAACAGAGAAATGCAGAGTACGTCACACACAGGTAGGTTTCCTCACTGTCTCGAGAGGTACACTATGGTCACTCAGAGACTGGTGTAGGGGAAAAGAACTCAGAATTCTACCCTGTAACTGAAGGTTACAGTTTATAGGATCATAGGCCAAGGGTCTTTCATAGTTATCAGAGTTACCAAATCTAAGAAGCCATGTGTGCAACTGACATGTCCCCCCACCTCTTGGGTCACATGCTGGCACTAATGCTCACCGTCACATGCAGGGCTGCCAGGGCCTCATCTATGGCAGCCAGGTAGTCGGGCAACAGGTCCAGAAGACAAGTGGCCAAAAAGACACCTCCAGCAAAGCAACTTACTAGGCTCAGGAATTTCTGACGGGCAGCTGGACAAGAATGCAACACAAAGCAAATGAACGCCCACTATCCCAACCCAAGCAATGGTTACTCCTGTTCTCTTCACCTCCTTAGGTCACCTCCCCCAGGCACAGAGACCTCCTTAACCCACACATCCCCAGAGGCAGGAAGAGTGGTACTCACCTGAGCTTTCAGGGTCATAGTTAGCTCCAGGCCGCCGTAGCACACAGATGGGCACCAGGCTGCAGAGAAGGGTGAGGACCAGCAGTAGCACCAGAGCCCCCAGCTTCACTTCCAGCCCCACCGGCACTGGAGGTTCTGAAGCCACGGCTTCTGGGCGCCACACCAGGAGCTCAGGCTCCCCCCAGGGACCCATGGTGTCTGTGGCAGCTCCAATGACTCTCAGACCTATAAAGAAGGAGGGAGAGGCTGTCACGAAGACGGGGCCACAAAAGGGGAAGGCCGGTCAGCAGGGTTCAGCTCTCCACTCCAGCCGCTCTCTGGCTTCCCCACTGCGGGTGACTCATCCACTCTCATACCAGGAACATTTCTATTTCTCCTTGGAATTTATCTTTCCCAAACGACCTGTTCAGGGAGCCAAGAAGGTGGAAACTACGCGGTGAGACCCCGGGTAACTGGGGACAGCCTCCAAACAAGATATAGAGCTGGAGTTCCCAAGGCAAGCAGGAGTCAAGCCACTTCACTCGGGCACAAGCGGCTTCAGCGAAGGCTGGCGGGCTGGGACAGTGCTTCGTGAACCACTTGAGCAGGCCAAGTGTGGGAGCCAGGTTTCTCCCCTACCCTCACACCGGGCCCCGGAAAACGAAGAGCAGGCGAGCGCTTCGTGACGGGGCCGATAGCCCGAAGATTCGGGTCCGGGGACCCTGGGATTGGACAGGACGACACTGAGGGCAGGGTCTGCAAATCTGGGATGCGAGAGGCGGGGTCGGAGGTGGCCAGCGTCGAGAAAAGCAGACAAAGAACGCGAAAGCTGGGATCCGACTCCTAGTCCCGGGAACCCGCACTCACCTCGCTAGGGACTAGCTCCATGGTGTTTGCTCAGTTCCGGCTCAGCGTCGGGAATTCCCGCCCCCTCCCCAAACCGCCCCCTCCCCCGCGGCCGACGCGTACCCGGGCCAGCAGCCAATGGCAGCGCCGGTGGGCGGATCCAGCCTAGAAGTGACGTGATCCAGGAGCAATCAGAGGCGTAGAGCAGGAGTGGGCGGGGCAGGAGGCAGAGAGAGTTGAGCGCAGTCTAAGAGGCGACCGGTGTGAAGACTTGAGAACTACAGGCTAACGTACGGTTGTGAAGTTCTACGGGCCTTAGTTCGCCGGGCAGCAAAGCGATGGATCAGAGAGATCGCAGAAGTAAAGAACTGGAACTAGAAGCCCCGCCCGCGGGTGTTTCTCCTTGCCCTCTCCTGACCCAAACTCCCGACCCTTAGGGGACGCTGAAACCTTACTAGTGCGCCCCCTTCTCAGGACACATCGCCCATACCAACATCTAGAAGGAGTCACGTAATCCTAGCACTGGAGAGGCTGAGGCAGGAGGATCTCCTGAGTTCGAGGCCATCCTGGGCTGTACAGTGAATTCAAGGCTAGTCTGGATCCTGTCTCAAAAAGAAAAAAAAAAAAGGAACGCTAAGGATAAGGGTCTAGAAATGGAAGCGGGCAGCTTCTTTACGTGAAGGGGAGAATGTGCAGACTTTGAGAGGAGGGAGGTTTAAGAGAAAAAATGTATAGGACAGAACAGGATTTAAGTGAAATAGGCCATCATTTACTAATTAATAATTGCTTTTCTAAACTTTTTAAGAGAAAAAATTTCGGGGGCTGGGGATTTAGCTCAGCGGCATAAGCGCCTGCCTTGCAAGCAGGCAGTCGTGAGTTCGATCCCTGGTACCGATAAAAAGGAAAAAGACAAAAAAAAAAAAAAAAAAAAAAAGAGAGAGAATTTCAAAACATGATAATTAGAGGGTAACAATGTTTAATACATTGCATATTGTTATCTTTAGTTACCCAAGCACTCGGGGAGACTGAGGCAGGAGGATTGTTGCAAGTTCGAGACCAACCTGGGCTACAAAGTGAGCTCAAGGCTAGCTTGAACTGCATAATGAAACCCTGTGTGAGACAAAAATAAATAAATATTAGTTACTCAAAGTACAAGATACCTGCATTTAATTATCCAAACAAATTAGCACACACCATTCTTTTCAGTGACCTAAGAGAAAATGGTTAGTAGTCTAACCATCCTATGACATATGTTTCTTTCAGCTTCTCACGCTAAGACAATACGTTGTTTACACATGTGAGTCTGACTTATTTCACTTATAAATATGATCTCAAGTTGCATGCATTTACCTATAAAACATCTCAGGTTTATCCTGAATGGCTGAATAGTACTTCATTGTATAAAAATACCACATCTTTGTATCCATTCTTTGGTTGATGAAAATGTGTTTTAAACTTTTTTTTGAGACAGGGTCTATTCTGCTGCCTCAGTGTTCCATAGTGCTGGGATTTCAGGCTTTAATTTTTTTTTTTTTTTTTTGTCCTTTTTGACAGGGTTTCGCTATACATTTCTGTCTGGCCTAGAATTCACAGTGATCCTCTTTCCTCAACCTCCTGAGTGGTATGATTACAGGTGTGCTCTACCATGCCCAGCCTAAACTATTTTATTTTACTTTATTTTTTAGGTACTGGGGATCAAACTCAGGACCTTGCACTTACCAGGCAAGTGCTTATGCTGCTGAGCTAAATCCCCAGCCCCTATTGTATTTTATTTTGAGAGAAGGTCTTGCTGCTTAGTTCAGGCAGGCCTTTAAATAATCCTCCCGCCTAAACCTCCTGAGTCCTAAAGTTACAGCCATGTGGTATCACACTCAGCTAAACTCACTGTTAATTTCAAAAGAAAAAATTGGATATGTGGCATACACCTATAATAATCCCAAATGCTTTGATGGTTAAAGGAGGAGGATCACAAATTTGAGCCTAGCCTGGTGGTTTAGTGATTTAGCCAGAACTGCCTGAAAAGGGGGAAGAGAAGTTAAACTAGCAGGTGATGCCCAAAGCTTTCCAGTTTTAACATTAAAAGAAGCTGACTGTACCTTCCACTTAATCATTTCTACCCAAACTGCTACAGAAAGCCCTTGAAATACATTTCACCACCTTTCTTGGTCTCAGAAAGATCTACAGAAAAATATCTCAAGCATCCAAATTTTGGTTCAGCTATTGCAAGTTGCTATGAGATTTATGAGTAACATGAAAATGATCACAAAGCTGGGCATGGTGGCAAACACCTGTAATACCTCAGAGCACTCAGGAGGGTGAGGCAGGAGGATCACTGAAAGTTTGAGGCCAGCCTGGGCTACATAGTGAGTTCAAGGCCAACCTGAATTACATAGTAAGACCCTGTCTCAAAACAAAAACAAAACAAAACAAAACATTTGAAGTTCAAAACCAGCCTGGATATGCAATGAAACACCGTGTCAAAAAACTATAAAGTGGATAGTCTTCAGAGACTTGGTGGCCTTTTGGCTATATATATCTTATACATATCTTTAATGGCCTGAGCAGTTTCACCAGCATTTTATTATTTTGAGACAGGGTCTCCCTATGCAAGTTCAGGCTGGCTTTGAGCTCACTTTGTGCCCCAGGCTGGTCTTGAACTCGCAGAGATCTTCCTGCCTCAGCCTCCCAAGTTCTGGGATTACAGGAGTGAGCCATCATGCCAGGCTTTGCCAGCATTCTTAAAGTGAAGATTTGAACCCCCCCCCCCACTTTTTTTGGTTTGATTTGGTTTTTGGAGATGGTCTTGCTATGTAGTATATAGGCTGATCTAAAAACTCATGGTGATCCTCCTGCCTCAACCTCTCAAGGGCTGGGATTATAAGTATGTGCCACCATGCCTGGTTTGAACCTCTTGATTTGTATAATATGGGGTTTTCTGGATCAAAAGAACAAATCATTTTCACAAGTTGCTTTTCTATGTGTATATTTATTTATTGGTACTGAGGATCAAACTTACGACCTCACACTTGCCAGGCAGGTGCTTATGCCATTGAGCTAAATCCTAGGCCTATTTTTTTTTTTTTTTTTTTTTGTCTTTTTCCTTTTTATCGGTACTGGGGATCGAACTCATGACTGCCTGCTTGCAAGGCAGGTGCTTATGCCCTGTGCTAAATCCCCAGCCCCTCCTCAGCCTACTTTTGTTTTTTGAAACAAGATTTCACTATGTACTCCAGGCAGGTCTTAAACATGAATCCTTGTGCCTCAGCCGGAGTTTTGGGGTTACAAGTGTGTACCACCAAAACCAATTGCAGTTTGAATTCTGGTTCCACACCCTAAACTTTGCTACTTTTCTCACCTGAAGTTCTACTGAAGGCAGACAAATAGAAACCATAGCTATCTATATCTATGTGCCCTCCGTTATTTTACTAGAAGTGAATTCCTGGGCCATCAGACAGATCAAGTGGGGGAAAGTGCTAACTTTGGAATTCTAGTGATGGATACTATTTTCTAGCTATGAACTCTTTGCCAGTCCTCTCCCCTCCTCGGTAAAATTGCAAAATTTTACCTGATCTCTGTCCCTCAGAACAGTCGCAAATTAAATGAGGCAATAAGGTTTGAGAACAGTTTTTTGGTTTTTTTCTTTGGTACCAGGAATCAAACTCACAATCTCATGCTTGCTAGGCAGGTACTGTGCCACTGAGCTATAGTCCTGGCCTAGAGAGTAGTTTTAAAATGTGGAGAGGAAAGGAAGAGAATGAGAAAACGAGATATTTATGTACATGTGCCAGCTTTCCATAATGTATGTAATTATTAGGCATTGCAAACAAACTAATAATTTAAAAAATAAATGATATAAATACAAAGCCGGAAGTGGTGGTTTGTCCCTAATTTCAGCACTTGAGAGGCTGAGGCAGGAATATTACTTAGAGTTCAAAGTCAGCCTGCACCACATAATGAGACCATGTCTCAAAATGTAACACCCCCCAATATAAACTCCCACACTTGGAGAGGAGTTGAAGGGAGGGGAGGGAAATGGTAAAAGGAAAAAAAAAAAAGTCTCCCACCTAACGCTAAAGATTTCCTGACTTGCCCCAGTTTTGTAGTCCCCGCCCCTCGGTCTGTGACTGTCCCACCGTCGTCCGCCCGCAAAGTAACATGCGGATCACGGACTGGAAACCCGCCCTTGCGCAACCTTCCGGCTTCTGGGTCAAAACCGTGGCGCTTCGCTTGGGTCAGCAGGTTGTTTATCCCCCACCTAGACAGCAACCAAAAGCTTCGAGGTCGCGTGGCAAGCAAACCCCATCCACCCTGCCCACATCCCCAGAACTTTGGTCCTACTTCCTTCCACTCTATTTTCCGGTTGCCAGCGAGACCTCCAGTTCCACCGAACGCAATCCCTGCCTAACAAATATTGCAACTCCATTGGTCAGAAACCCCTATTCTGACCAATTACAAGGAGTTGGTCTCGAGCGGGTGATTCCATTGGTTCCATAGTGTGCCCCTTGGAACCTTTGTATGTGTGGCTTCCAATCAGGATTCAAGCATGGGAAGAGGGCAAAACGGTGGGGGAGGGCAGGCCTAGAAACCCCTTTTGTTCCTAAAGCGGATTGGGCACTCATGCTTATAGTACTGCAGTCGCGGCTACATTTGGTCCTCCCTGAGGAGACACCAAAACCTCAGGAAAATCTACCACTAGGAGAAACTAAGGCTAAAAGGAGAAACTGAGGCAAGAAGGTTGTGGCTGTTTCTCCTAGATGCAGTTCCGCGTCTCAGTCCTCTACTCCCCGACTCAGCGCCCCTATCGTGGCCACTGCAAGGTGCAGCTAGCTTTGCAGGTGCCTAGCTCGAGGCGGAGCTTAGCTGGGCAGGACCAGGATGCAGATCCTGGAGGAAGAACTCACAGGTGTCGCTGCGTCCCGGCCAGGCTGATCTGCGGGCTGGGCCTGTGACCCTCAGCAAGAAGGTCTGGCCGGTGAGGAGCTATGGCAAGTGTGGAAGGAGGACGCTGTGGGGTGGGAAGAACTGTCGCCTCCCTTGATGATTGCTCTGCGTACTTTCCTGCAGAAGCATGGATCTTGGGTCCTCCGACCTGCTGGATGTGTTCCTGGAGCCCCCAGAAGATATCTTCTCCGCAGGGTCCTTCGTGGAGCGGGGCTTCACCTGTTCCCTTCCGGAGGTTCCAGAGACCAGGCTCCAAGAACAAGGACGGCAAGGCTGGGACCCCAGTGGGGGCCACTGCTGTTCCAATGTGGTGGGTGACCGGTGATGAGAAGCCCTTCTGAGACTCCCCCTTTCTTTTGTTTTTTAAGAACAGGAAAATTTATTGGAGAAAAAGAATGGGAAATAGAAGTGGGGGAATTGGGAATAGCTCCCAAGAGACAGGAGGGGTCCTGAATGGGTTGCCCAAGAAGCCCTCTTGAGAGAAAAGTCCCAGAACAGAGATCCCAAAGATGTGACTATGTATCTATATGACCAAGGACAGAAGGGACTGAAATTAAAACATGAGAGATCTAAGTCTGATGTCAGGTAAGACTGCTGAAATTCTTCCTGGCCCGTACTATACTTTCTCCTATTATAGGGCCTTCAAGAAAGTGAGTCTGAGGATTTCCTGAAGCTTTTCATCGACCCCAATGAAGTGTACTGCTCCGAAGCTTCTCCTGGCAGTGATAGTGGCATCTCAGAGGACCCTGGCCACTCAGACAGCCCCCCAGGCCCACTGGCACCTGGTTCTCCTGCCCTGTATGAGGTCATCTATGAAGCAGGGGCTCTTCAGCAGGCGCAGGGGGAAGCTGGGCCAACCTTAGGGCTTCTCTCCATCCAGCTAGGTCAGTGTTCTGTGGGAAGAACGCAAGGGGCTTCCCAGACCCTGTTGCCATAGAGTGTCCTCTCTTTCCGACCTCCAGCCACTGTTTCCTCCAGATCAGTGGAGCCCACAGTTGGTACCTGATGCCCGTGTCGCCCATGAGCTGATCTTTGATGCTCGTACCCACATCCTGCCCACTGCCATGGCCTCAGTACCTCCAGCCACCCTGGTGAGTCTAGGCCTCAATCAGCACCCCAGTACCAAGAGGTAGACCAAGGGGAGAAGGGAAGGAAACTGATCTGGAACTGTGTCTTTGCCCCACTTTTTGTGGCCTGTAGAGCAAGGTGACATGAACAGATTCAACAGCTGGGAAAGTCCAAGGCAGAGAGAAGCCTTGGGGTAGGTGGTGATGACTCAGCTGAGGGAATCTGGGGAAAGCCCAGACCTTGTGTTCCCTGTGTACTCAGTGAGAGCCATCATCTCAGCCTTGGTCAGGACGTAGAACTGGGACAGGACACCTTTGAATCCAAATGGTTAGTGAGCACAGGGTGGGGGAGAAGGGCTAGGGCAGAGCCGTGTCCCCACAGACTGCTTCCCACATCTTGTCCCAATGCTGTGGGCAGGGAGGCTTGCTTTGCTTTGCTCACTCTTCTCCCTTCACCCTAGGAAGTGTTCCTTGTACCCACAAGGTAGGGAATGGGACTATCTTCCTTTAAATCTGGGATTGAAACTGGGACCAGATGTCAAGTTGCATTTTAGAATCTCAGGCAGAAAACTTAAAACTGACTTGCTGGGCATGGTGGGACACACCTGTAATCCCAGCACTTGAAAGGCTCAGACAGGAGGATCACTGAGAATTTGAAGTCATTTCAAACTACATAGTGAAGCCAGGCATGATGGCTCACGCCTGTAATCCCAGCACTCAGGAGGCTGAGGCAGGGGATCATTGTGAGTTCTAGACCAGCCTAGGCTACAAAGTGAGCTCAAGGGCAGCCTGAACTGCACAGCGAGACCCTGTCTCAAAAGGACAAAGCAAACAAACAAACAAAAAAACTGGGCTGGGGATTTAGCTCAGCGGCATAAGCGCCTTCCTTGCAAGCAGGCAGTCCTGAGTTCAATCCCCGGTACTGATAAAAAGGAAAAAGACAAAAAATGAAAAAAACTACATAGTTCAAGGCCAGCCTATACTACAAAGTAAGGCCCTTTCTCAAAAACAACACACATACACACGCACACACAATGAAACAAAAATAAGGTAACTGGACATCAGAAGTGCCAGAATGTTTGTGCATGTTTGTTTGTTTTAGATAAAACTCTCTGGGCCATATTTTTGGGCATTTTGATTAGTTTGGAAAAAAATCTCCCAATAGTTTCATCAAACAGGAAGCAGAAGGAAACAATAGGAAATGGTTTAACCAAAACCCAAAGCCAAAAAAACAAGACCCCAGGGCCTTCACACTGAGCTAAATCTCCAGTCCTTTCTTCTTCCAAGTTGCCCAAGCTGGGTACAAAGTGAAGCAAGTATTGTTAAAGGAGATGGCCAGCCAGGCATGATGGTGCACACCGGTAATTGCAGCATTTGGGAGGCTGAGGCAGGAGGATCATTGGGAGTTCAAGGCCAACCTGAACTGCATAAGGAGATCCTATCTCAAAAAGACAAAAAAAATTGGAATGGATTGAAGGTCATAAAAAAAAAAAAAAGACAAAAAAAAAAATATGAGTGTGGTGGCTCACACCGTAATCCTAAGTACTTTGGAAACTGAGGAAGGAGGATTGAGGTTAAGCGCAGGCAATTTAGGAGACTCTGTCTCAAAAATAAAAAGGACTCTAAAATTGGACATGGGGCACATACCTGTAATCCCAGCACTCAAGAGCCTGAGGCAAGAAGATCTCTGGGTTCGAGGTCAGCCTGGGCTACAAAGCAAGTTGAAGGCGGGTCTGAACTAGATAGTGATACCCTGTCTCAGAAAAACCAAACAAAACAAGGCCTGGGGATTTAGCTCAGTGGCATAAGTGTCTGCCTGGCAAGCGCAAAGCTATGAGTTCAATCCCTGGTACCAAAACAAAACAAAACAAAACAAAAGGACTGGGGACTAACTCAGTGGTAGAGCACCAATACAGTAAATGTGAAGTTTTCGGTTCAGTCTGTAGTCTCCACTACAACAGAACGACACTTGCCCAAACTAAAAAAAAAAAAAAAAAAAAAATTCCTTTTTTTCAAAAAGGAGTACTAGAGGGAAGTCAAAGTACAGATGATGGGCACAGGTTAACCACAGACACTGTCTCCTCTCCCCACCTACTTTGTTGTAAGCAGCTATGTGGTCTGGCTGCCCTTGGAGAGTCCCTTGTCACAGCAGGAAAGCCTGAAAAATGGAGCACACCCTGCCAAATGGAAGTACATGGCAAATGATTTATCTGTTGTTAGGAAATTAAGCAGACTTGACTGCAGAGATCCTGCAGAATCTTTCAAATGCCTTTAAAGTTCTGGGAGACAGGAACCACACCAGACCCTTCCCAGCTCGCTGAGAATATGAAGGCCCTAAGGCTGCAGCCAAAAGATGCAAGAAAACCACAGCTCTCTTCTCGGCCTCGGGAGATCCCTTGGGTGTGATGCAGAGACTGTCTCTACCGCTGATCTCACCTCTAGTTTGGCTGTTACTTCCTCAGTACAGACAGCACTCTGGAGGCCCAGGGAGGGTAGGACTGGGATGACTCTCCTGCTAGCTTCTCATCTTTTCCTGCCCCACCTCACAGCTGCCCTGCCAAACCCTGCTCTTGACAGATGAGGAGAAGCGGCTACTGGGGCAGGAAGGGGTTTCTCTGCCCTCTCATCTGCCCCTTACCAAGGTAACTCTCTTCCCCAAACGCTAACCCAGCCTTGGAATCCAACCCTGGCTTCTGAGAAGCCAGGATCCCAGGGAAGAGGTCAGAAATTGTGAGAGGTTACAGGCCTGACACAGTCTGGTCCTCCAGGCAGAGGAGAAGGTCCTCAAGAAGGTCAGGAGAAAAATTCGGAACAAGCAATCAGCTCAAGACAGTCGGCGGCGGAAGAAAGAATATATTGATGGGCTGGAGAGTAGGTATGTAGCTCCCATTTCTGGCATCCTGTGGGCCTTCCTCACCAAGGCAGTGAAGGTTAAGGGGCTGAGAGTGCTGAGTTTGTCCTCTCTCTCCATCTTCCCTAGGGTAGCAGCCTGTTCTGCACAGAACCAGGAGCTGCAGAAAAAAGTCCAGGAGCTGGAGAGACATAATGTGTGAGTACAGCACCAGGGGCAGGGAGAGTGCAGCTCATCGGGCCCCATTGCTGGCCAGGGCTCCCAGAAGGTACTAACTCTTCACCCCTTTCCAGCTCCCTGGTGGCGCAGCTCCGTCAGCTACAGATGCTCATTGCTCAGACCTCCAACAAAGCTGCCCAGACCAGCACCTGCCTTCTGGTACCAACAGCCCATTCACTATCTCCCCACCTCCACCATCGCCCATCCTGATTCCCCTATCCCTACTCCTTTATCTTTCTCCCATAACAACTCCAACTGTTGTCCATTCCCTCTGATCTCTTCCTTTATTGTCCCACAGCATTAAATGTCCTTTTGGCTCCTTCCAGATCCTTCTCTTTTCTCTGGCTCTCATCATCCTGCCCAGCTTCAGCCCTTTTCAGAGTCTACCAGAAGCTGGCCCTGAAGAATACCAGCCTCATGGAGGTGAGAGAAAGGACAAGGCGCTCTCCTGTGAGGAAGGGATGCTCACAGAGGGCAAGCAGGGGAGGTCGGGTGGGGTGGTATACTTCTGGCTCCATCTCTTTGGAGGCTGAGACAGAAGGATGACTTGATCCCCCAAGTTCCAGACTAGCACAGGCAATATAGCAAGACTATCTCAGGAAAACAAAGGAGAGGAGAAAAAAGAAAAAGCTATGGGAGAGGTCCGATCCTATATAGGATCGCCTGCCCAAGAGGGAGTACTGGGTACTTGATAGGTACTCTACTGCTTTTTTCCTTCCCCTCAGTGATTTCCAGAAATATCCTAACCCACAAGGACATGGGAGGAAGTCTGGAGGTTCCAGTAATCGAGTCGCCTGGCGTCCAGAAGGCAAATGGCTCAAGGATCCCACCAGAGAAGACAGGCGTAAAGACTGGATCCAGGGGGTACCTCAGAAGTGTGCGTGCAGATGAGATGTGAGCTAGGGCAGAGATCTTCTCAGTCACAGTAAGGAATCTAGGGTGCTCCTCAGGCTCTGCTTCCAACAAGAATTCCCACTCACTATCTCTTCCCTTAGGGATCTGAATCACTTAACACCCTGGGACAGTGATAAAAGTTTTCAACCATGACAGACAGCCCACTGCTACATGCATGCCATAGGTTCGCCACACTGCCCAGGAGATGTCTGTATCCTGAAGCCCAGTTTCCCAAATGAGTGTGCATCCCAAAGACTTTATGTATCTGTGATTTTTTTTTTTTTTTTTTTTTTTTTGGTACCAGGAATCGAACTCAGGATGTCATGCTTGCCTGGCAGACACTGTGCCGTTGAGCTTTATCCCCAGCCCCTATGTATCTGTGATTTTATTACTTCTTTGGGGATAGGGTTTAGGGAAACAGAAGCTTTGACTGAAAAATAAAACTTTCTAGCTAAAACTGCAACCCAGAAGTTTTAAGTAAGTAGTAAAACACGGGGAAGACAGGAGCTTGGGAGATTGCCATCCCCTGTGCCCTTTGCTTTCTGCTTCCATGTCTTTCTGTTCCAAAGCAGATCACTGTCGAGAAGGCAATTATTTGACTTTTATTTTATTGTGCTCAGGAGTGATGTGAAGAGGAAGATGGGGAAAGGGTGTAACACCACAGACTCCAAAGAAGCAAGGGCACAAACCAGTCCATTCCACTCTTTCTGTTAAAACATGGTCTATAAGACCCAGGATAGATGGTGGGGTAGTTATATGGATTCAATTTGTTTCCGGACCTTTTCCAGAGCCTTTCTGTCCAGCTGTCGCTGACGAATGATGACGAGACAAGCAAAGATCAAGGCCACAACTATGACAGCCCCTTCAAATTTCCAGAATAAGTGTTGTTCCATCAGAGCTGAGCGGCAGCTGGGGGTAGGAAGGAACAGTTATTTCCAGGGAAGATGAGACAGCTCCTTCTAATCTCTTTTCTACATCTGCCTAATGAAGGTAATATCCCAAAGGAAAAGAGAAGTCAGCTCTATAATGTGTTTACAGTTCTTGGTGAGCCAACATTAATCAGTTTTACTGATGAAAAAATACAGGGCTGGGAGTTAGCTCAGTGGCGTAAGTGCCAGCCTGGCAAGCGTAAGGTCATACATTCAATCCCCGGTACAGAAGAAAAAAGAACAAGAAAAAATGTGGCTAATAACTATGCTAAGGAGCAGAGCTAAGACTTGAATTTAAATTATTAGGCTCCAGAAGCCCTCCTGGGTACAGTGGTGCATGCCTGTAATCTTAGTACTTGGAAGGCTGAGGTAAGAGGATTGCCTGGAGTTCTGAATCCAGCTTGAACTAAACAGCAACATCCTGTCTCCAACAAACCTTCCTCTTTCCAATACCTAGCACACTACCCTTAGACCAGGAGAAAGGAATGACTGTTTACCTAAGTCACAGGATCAAAGGAAGTTTTTAAGAGAAACAATTCTTACCTTTTGAACTCATTCTTTTTAGATGCACTGCATGTGATTTTCTCTATGTATCCCGTAGAACCACACTCGGGGATGGTTTTCTATCAGCAGAAAAGGACCAAAGCCTGTGTTAGGAAGAGCAGCAGGAGCAGAGGGACTGCCATTCAGCAGCAGGTACCTAACTGCAAAAACCAGAGCTAAATAAAAGAGGAGTTCTGGTATGGACTGGGGAGGTAATAGTTGTGCGATTATGCATATGTGTAGGAGGGCAGGAGATTAGGAATGATAAGGATAAATTCCAGAGCCCATTATATTGAGAATAAACAGAACATGGAAAGAATGGGGCATATTTTCAGGGAAAGAAGCAAATTCATATCTGGACATCCACTGAGACTACAAAGACAAGAAAAACAATACAAAGGCATGCACAGTGACACTTGACTGGTTAGATGTGGGCAAAAGAGAAAGCAGATACTTACAGCCTGGAAAGTAGAACACGGAGCACACTCTTCTGCCACGACGAACTCTTCCACCAACCAGCACGACAAAGTAGAGGTGCTCACTAAACAGAGAGAAAAATGCCAGGCCCCCCCCCGCCCCCGGCTAATTCAGAAAACATTTCTTCCAAAATTCCACCCATCACCTTCTCAACAAAGGGCACACCCTCATCCCGTGTGCTGCCGTCCTCTTTCACTTGGGCTCCTGGTGTATCAGGAAGAGATTAAAAAAAAAAAAAAATAGGGGTTTAGGTTCCTAGAAAATCACTTACCGGACAGTTTTTCCTCCTGAACGGGAGCCTCTGCTTGGCTGCAGCGGAGAGTGGAGAGTGCAACAGTTAGAATCCAGAAAACAAGGCACACCCACCTTCGTCCAGGAGGAGGTGTCCCCCATCCCCCGGGGAGGGTTCTCGCCCGCCCTCCTTTTCCGTCCTTACCAGAGCTTTAAGGTGACAGCGCACAGCAACCAGCAGAGGGGACGACCCTGGGCGAAGCCCAGCCTCCCCGTGCTCGCGGGCATGGAGCAGTCAGGGTCGCACCTGCCAGAACAGGAGCTGCTTTACCGGCGCTCACTCTGTAGTCTTGCCGGAACTTCCAGCCCAGGGCAGCAAAATTCCGGGGTTGTCTATCAGCGCACAGGTTCTATCAGGACGACCTCATGGCTGCGGCGAGCAGAGCTCATCTGCATTTGTTGGCTGGGATCTTGAGGCGCTCCGCCCGGGAGCCCAGGCCTATTTCCAGCTCACCTCAACTTCTGCCCTCAGCGCGGCCATCTTGCCCGCAGAGGCTGCTGGGATGTGTCCCTGGGAAATTTGTAGTCTTCCGCGGTGGACACCTGCCCTAGGCTCGGTGACAACTGGAGGCCACTGCGTTTGCGCAGCAAGACGAAGCCCATTGGCTCGGAGGCCTATGGCATTGTGGGCCGGGTAGTGTTTGTTGCAGCTTGCGTGGCGGGTTGTTTCGCTATTCTCTGGCCTGTTGCCTGTTTGTGGATTCTGGGCTAGGTGAGCGGGAAGGCGGGAAAAAAGGGAACAATAGGTTGCCCTGCCAGTACGTTGGACCCTCCTTAAAGCTTCAGGATTGATGAGTGAGCGTTGATGGTTAGCTCAGCGGCATAAGCGTCTGCCAGGCAAGCATGAGATCCGGAGTTTGATTCCCAGTATTCAAGAGCAAATCAAAAAGGGGTTTACCATTGAGATCTAGCGTTTTGACACCTTCCACATTCCTGTTTTCCGCCCCATCCTCCCAGACGGCTTACTTGACAGCTTAGGGATGGAGACTAAGCTGCACTTTCTTTTTCCCACAGAAGCTGGAATATCCCAGACACCCTGATAACGTGAAAATTGCTCCTATTTTTGTGTTCCCAGTCGGTCCTACACAGATGAACTGTGTATTCCCCTGTTAATTGCTAGACAGTTTGGCAGAACTAATCCTGTAGATAAAGTTTACCTGGAAGTTAAAAACCCATGGACAGGGGCTGGAGATTTAGCACAGTGGCATAAGCGCCTGCCTTGAAGCAGGCAGTCGTGAGTTCGATTCCCAGTACCGATAAAAAGGAAAAAACAAACCCACGGACATCTGAAATGTATAAACACTTTTCAGAAGTACAGTCAGGCAATAAATACACTTTTAATGGGAAAATGCAAATTAACACTGAGAGTCCATCCATTCCAGAAAGAATGGCTATTACCAAGAAATTAATAACCCAGGTGTGGCTACAAATGCCTGTTACCCTAGGACCCACGAAGGATTGCAGTGAGTTCAAGGTCAGCCTGCACTATCAAGTAAGACCTGTCTTAACCAAAAAAGAAAGTGTGTGTGTGTGTGTGTGTGTGTGAGAGAGAGAGAGAGAGAGAGAGAGAGAGAGAGAGAGAGAGAGAGAGAAAGCTATTATCCAGTAACAAGTGCAGGGGGTGCATTTGAGGGGGAAGCTTCCTCAAAAAACTAAAAATAGAAATCCATTTGACCCAGCTATTCCCCTTCTAGGCATCATACCAAAAGAGTTAAACACATCATACCACAGTGACACATCCATACACGTTTGTAAGCAACATGATTCATAATAGCTAAAGCATGAAAGCAGACTATATGACCATCAACAGATGAATGAATAAAGAAATGTATTTCAGCTGGCTATGGTGGCACACACCTGTAATTTCAGCACTTGGGAGGCTGAGGCAGGAGGACTGCTGCGAGTTCGAGACCAGCAGCTACATAGTGAGTTCAAAACCAGCTTGAACGCTATATTGAGACTGAGATAGATTAGGGCGTGGCAAAACTAGTTGAAGTAGTCAAGATTCTGGAAAACGTGTAGAACAGTTCCCAAAGCCTTGCACATGTGCTTCTCATAAGAACTGAGGCAAGTTTTTTTGTGTGTCTTTTTCTTTTTCATCGGTACCGGGGATCCACTGTGCCAATTTGAGAAGTTTAGAAATTTAACTAGTGACTCAGCAGGGGATCAGGGGCCTTACTTTGTAAACATCCCCATCCTGTGTAAGAGGAGTGCAGGGAGATGTGAGTGCTACACCCACCCTAGTGGGTGGTAGCTTGCTTACAATTCACGGAATAAAAGAGGCCTGCTCTCCCTGCTTTTTGCTCTTGCTACTTTTCTTGTCATTGGCCACCTTTAAATGTCACTCCTGTGCTATTCCACCCTGCTTTGGAGCCAGCTAATTATAGACTGAAACCTCCACAAACTGAGCTAAATGAACTTTTCTTTCCTTAATTTTTTTTTTAATCGGTACCGGGAATCGAACTCAAAAACACGCGCTTGCAAGGCAGGTGCTTATGCCACTGAGCTAAATCCCCAGCCCCTCTTTCCTTAATTTTGAGTGTCAGGTATTTTGTCCCAAAAATGAGAGAAAAGTAACCAAGATAATGTGATAGCCTAGACCTGAGGTCGCTTTAGGGAGTGGGATCCCAGCATTGCCTCTTAGCACCTGTATGTGGGAGTTCTCTTGGGTTCCCTTGGAAATTGGGCCTTATAATAGGACACAAGCCAAAAAGCCTACTCTTAGTGGCTTTCCTCATAATAGCCTGCCCTGCTTTCTTCAGGGTATTTTTTTTTTTTTTTCCTTTTTATCGGTACTAGGGATCAAACTCATGACTGCCTGCTTACAAGACAGATGCTTATGCCACTGAGCTAAATCCCCAGCCCCTTTTCAAGGTACTTTATCTTGCTTTTTCTTTTTTTACTCAGCACAGGCTCATTCTGCAGAGCCAGTTTCTCTTTTACTGTTCACTTTTATTTTTTCAAATAAATCTTGCTAGTCTTTTTTTTTTTTCTTTTGTGAAGGTCGTGCACGCGATGTAGTTCAGGCTGGCCTGGAACTCAAAGTGATCCTTCTGCCTCAGCTCAGTACTGGGGTTACAGGGATGTGTCACCAAAGATTTATAAGATAAATAAATGAGGGGGCTGGGGATTTTGCTCAGCAGCATAAGCGCCTGCCCTGCAAGCACACAGTCGTCAGTTTGATCCCTGGTACCGATTAAAAAAAAAAAAAAGATATATAAATGAATCTGATGCTGATGAAAAGGTGGGAGGAAAGGGAAAAAAAGAATGAAATGTGTGGAGTGCATGTACTGATTACCCACATTGAATGTAATCATTATGTACTGCAAGCATGGACTAATGGGAAAAAATGCTGAGCCTGGATTCAAGTGGTTATTAGCTACGTAACTTCAGTGTCAAGCTCTCAGGTCTATGTAAAATGGAAATGCAAATATGAAGTCTAGTATTTTTTTGGTTTTATTTAACATTTTAGTTTTTTCAAGACAGGGCTTCACCTTGTATTTCAGGTTGGCCTTGAACTCACTGTGTAGTGCAAGCCTGCCTTGAATTCATAACAATTCTCCTGCTTCAGCCTCCCAACTGCTGGGAGGCTAATCTACATGTGAGAGAGACTCGAAGGAAATGAAAGTACTTTATTCTTTTCCAGTAAGGTTTCTTTCTGCCATACTCCCTCCCATTTCCTGTGTCTGAGGATCAGCGCAGGGTCTTGCCTATGCAATGGAAGTGCTCTATCACTAACTATACTCCCACCCACTACCTCAAATATCCTTCACATGTTAATTTGGTTTAGTTTGGTTTTTTGAGACAGGGTCTTGCTATGCAGTTCAGATTGGCCTTGAACTTACTATGTAGCCCAAAGTGGCCTCAAATTCATGGAGCTCCTCCTGCCGCAGCCTCCTGAGTGCTGGATTACAGGCATGTGCCACCACACATCACTTTTTTTGTTTATTTGTTTTTGTTTAGTTTTTTGAGATAGGGTCTCACTATGTAGCCCAGGCTGGCCTCAAACTCATAGCAATCCTGCCGCAGCCTCCCTGAGTACTGAGGTTCCAAGCGTACTCCACCATGCCCAACTTTTTTGTTGTTGATGCTGTTGTTGTTTTTGAGAATACCTCACTATGTACTCAGGCTGGCTTTAAATTTACTGTGTAGCCCAATGTCCCTGAAACTCATACCAATCTTTCAGCCTCACCTTTTAAGAGTTCTGGGATTACAGGCATATGCCACCATGCCTGGTGAGGACGGCTGTTTGTTTTTTTGAGGTAAAGTCTCTCTAGTTCAGGATGTCCTTAAATTCACTATGTAGCCCAAGATATCCTTGCACTGAGTGCTGGGATTACAGCATACTAGACTACCATGCCAGACTATTTTGACTTTCATAGGTGCTCCATAGAGAGATACTTAAGCTTCACATAAAACCACCTGTACTCTGTCTCTAAGATCATAGAGCTGTCTCAGTATTTTTCTTTGTTAAAGTGGCTCCACAGTCCCTCCTCAAAATGTGTTTCTCAAATACCACTGCTACTGCCTTTGCCAGAAGCCCTAAGTGTTAGTGCACTTTATTTTTGGGTTAATGGTGGCATGTTCCATAAGTTCTTTTTACCTCAATTGAGAGGAAGCCACCCTCTAGCGACTACAGGTTAACTGTACAGCTCAGCTCTGTGAGGAGGTTGATGGTTAGGACCCTGGCTATGCACAGGTGCATCTATAATGTAACATCAGCAGAGCATAAGAGACTTGAAAAGTTCTGTCAGAACTCCCTGCTCTCCCTTCTCCCTTGACCATTGTTCACCTGCTTAATCACTACTCTGCTTCTGGAACCTTGCTTTGTGCTAATTTCCAGTGAAAAATTGCCCTGTGGAGAAAAAAACATTATAAAAGTAGAGACAAAGCTTTGTTTGAAGCTCTGGAGGAGACGTGAGTTCCTTGCAGAGACTCTGGCAAATTAAGGACCCCCTTTTTCCTGCTCCGTGTCTAGGTGGCTTTGTTTGGCATCCTGTCTCTTGCTTCATTTGGTTCCTTGACTGGAGGCATTGGGATCTGACACAATCGCTTGTGGCCGATTAACACTCTCACGGACTCACAGAGCAGGGAGCTTGACTACATGGCAAAGTCCTGCTGAGAACACCCTGCAGGTTTCCTGTCCTGTGGGAGGCTTCTCTGCACTGCAGGCCAAGACCCCAGCTGGCTGTCCAAGGAGGGCTCACACATTTGGCAGACATCTGAATCACAGGAGGACAGGGACCCTGATTTAGAAGGGAATGTGGAACAGGATCTCCACTTTGGAGAAAAACCTCTCAGAAGGGGCTGCCAGAGAGAACTGATCATCCTCCCTTGTGCCCCAACTAGCTGCCAGAAGGGCCGTGACACCTTAATACTTCAGGCTGCTACTGGCAGGTGGGAGTCTTGTGGAATGTGTGTGAATGAAAGTGTGTCAATGAGACAGACAATGCACTCCAAACTCTGTTTGGGTGCACCGAGTCAAAGCAAGGTGTAGGATCTTCAAGAGGTGTAGAGGCTTCAAGATAGGCCAGTCTG